TTTTTCATTTTCCTAGTCGAATGGCAATAAACCAGCTGCCAATAAAATCTGCATGAACATCTACCTTTGGTTAATGGTATTGTACCACATAAGAGGCATCACCCTCATCAGAACAAAGTCAAATGAGATCCTCTGCTATACAAAGAGCCCTTTAAAAAGTTATAAATACTAATTATCAATTACCTCTAAAATTTCTCAGCTGCCAGCTCTATCCTACACGGAGTTTCTGACTGATGAGTTTAATCAAGTCAAAAGATTATTGACCTTTTAACTGTGCTGGAGTCAGCAAATTCAACTTGCATATACCTTTCTGTATTACCAAACAATTGCCTCCTGAGGGAAAAGTGACACAGTAACATTTCTGCGAGGTGCACGCAAAACTAATGATTCAGTAATATTAATATTATAACATCAGACGAACAGAATTAGTTGATTCTGATTCTTTGGTGGAATTTCCAGGCTGAAGATTCAAATCTGAAGGCTCATCCTGAGGAAATATAATCTTATCAGGCGTATAATCATTCCTCTTCAGATCTACATTGAGCACCCAAAACAATTAAAAAAAAGAGAGAGAAAGAAAAGAAAAAAAAGTTAGTATTTCTTAGAAATGGAGAATTAGAAACATTTTCTTTCTTTTTTTTTTTTTTTGAAATAGAGTTTTGCTCTTGTTGTACAGGCTGGAGTGCGATGGCACGATCTTGGCTCACTGCAACCTCTACCTCCCAGGTTCAAGTGATTCTCTTACCTTAGCCTCCCGAGTAGCTGGGATTACAGGCATGTGCCACCATGCTCAGCTAATTTTTTACATTTTTAGTAGAGACAGGGTTTCTCCATGTTGGTCAGGCTGGTCTCCAACTCCCGACCTCAGGTGATCCGCCCACCTCGGCCTCCCAAAGTGCTGGGATTACAGGCATGATCCACCACACCCGGCTGAATTAGAACATTTTCTACTCAATTTTTCTCCAAACATGTCAGACTTGTTTTCCATCAGGTTGTTACAAAGAGTCACCAAATTTATGCACATAAAAATGAAGTCATTCATTCATTCAACAAATAATTACATACTGACCATGAGTCAGTCATGTAGGGCATGGAAATGTAGCAAAGAACAAACCAGACAAGGTCCCTGGTCTCAATGAGCTTATATTCTAGTGGGTGACAAAAAATGAGCAAACAGAAAAATGATAGAATTATAAGCAGTAAAAAGTGCTTTGAAGGCAGGGTGGGCAGTTCCCAGCATTTTGAAAGGCTGAGGTGGGAGAATCATTTGAGGTCAGGAGTTCAAGAGCAGCCTGGCCAAGATGGTGAAGTCTCTCATCTCTACAAAAAATACAATAATAAGCCAGGCATGGTGGCATGTGCCTGTAGTCCCAGCTACTCAGAAGGCTAAGGTGGGAGGATTGTTTGAGTCCCAGGAGGCAGAGATTGCAGTGAGCCAAGGTCATGCACGACAGCATGGGTGACAGAGTGAGACCCTGTCTCAAAAAATAAAATAAAATAAAAGAGTATCCAAGTAGAAATAGAGGTAGCTGAACATAGAAACAGAGCTTGGGAAAGATGTTAGGTCTTCAGATAAATTTGCTATGATCAGTATATAAAATATATTTATAGGTATTGGACAGGAAAAAACTTAAGAAGTTATAGACATATAGGAATAGTTGCAGAATTGGAAAAAATGCAGTAATATCAACATTATAAACTAACCAAATCATGCATAAACATACATACATATGTTTTTTTCTTTATTTTACCATTTTTTTTTTCTTTTTGAGATGGAATCTTGCTCTGTTGCCCAGGCTGGAGTGCAGTGGTGTGACCTCCACACACTGCAATCTCTACTCCTGGGTTCAAGCAATTCTTCTGCCTCAGCCTCCTGAGTAGCTGGGATTATAGATGCTCACCACCACGCCCAGCTAATTTTTGTATTTTTAGTAGAGATGGTGGGGTTTCCCCATGTTGGCCAGGCTGGTCTCAAACTCTTGACCTCAGGTGATCTGCCCACCTCCACTTCCCAAAGTGCTGGGATTATAGGCCTGTGCCACTGCGCCCAGCCTCCTTTTTTATTTATTTTTCTTTCTTTCAATTTCTTAAAAAAAAAAAAAACAAAAAACCTCAAGATACATGTGGAGAATGTGCAGGTTTGTTACATAGGTTTATGTGTGCCATGGTGTAAACCTTCATATATATGTATTTTGTATTTTTTAGTAGAGATGGGGTTTTGCCACGTTGGCCAGGCTGGTCTCAAACTCCGGACCTTGAGATCCTCATGCCTCGGCACCCCAAAGTGCTGGGATTACAGGCGTGAGCGACAGCTCCCAGCCAACCCTTACATTTTTATCTCCATATAAAATATAACTGATGCTCAGAATATGAACTGCTTTATTTCTTTAAAAAAATTAAAATATTTGACCTTACTGAATCATAAGCTGCTAATTTTAATCTAAGAAGCAACCTATCATAAATAATCCAAACACATATTTGCAAATGCATGAATTATTTTTGATAAATTTTAAATGTAAGACTATGTCAGTATGGCCTTAGGCAATACAAGCTAATCTGCTATTACTGTACAAAGAACAGTGGAAAAAAACGTATTTATACCTCGTCTTAATTATGTCATTAACTAGTACATATATCAATGAGCAAATCATCTCAACTTTAATTATATAATCTAGAAAATGAAGGATCTGGGCCAGATTTTTTTTTTTTTGAGAGAGAATCTTGCTGTGTCACTCAGTGGCACAACATCTGCTCATTGCAACCTCGGCCTTCTGGGTTCAAGCAAGTATGTTGACTTTCACTACACCCATTTAACACTGTGCTGGAAATCCATGCCAGTATAAACAGTCAAGAAAAAGAAAAGACATGCTGGTTGAAAAGAAAGAAACTGTCTTTATTGTCTATAAAAAAAATCCCAAGAAGTCTATTACAAAAAGCTCCCAGAAAAAGAGTTAAGCAAGGTTGCAGGGACATAAGCTTTAAAAAAAAAAAAAAAATGGCATTTCTGTATGCTAGCAATAAATAAAAAACAAATTTTTAAAAAGTTACCATTTACATACCTAATAATGCTTATTATATGGCTAGTACTGTGTTCTATGTACTTCATAAAACCAACTCATTAAGTCCTCAAAAAATCCTTAATGATGTAGGTATTCTCTGGAGTCATGCATACTGGCTCTCAAGTCTAAGCTCTTAACTATGACATTAATAGTCATAAGAAGTGGAACTTTTAAAAATAAACCTCAAGGGCTGGGCATGGTGCCTCATGCCTGTAATCCTAGCACTTTGGGAGGCCGAGGTGGGTGGATTACTTGAGCCCAGGAATTCAAGACCAACCTGGGTGACATGGCAAAACCCCATCTCTACAGAAAAAAAAAAAAAAAAATTTATATATATATATATATAAATAAATTAGCTAGGTGTGGTGGCATGTGCCTGAGGTCCCAACTACTTGGGAGGCTGAGGTGAGAGGATCACTTGAGCCTGGGAGGCAGAGGTTGCAGTAAGCTGAGATTGCACCACTAAACTCTAGCCTGAGCAACAGAGTGAGATCCTGTCTCAAAAATAAATAAAAATAAACAAATAAAAAAAACAGCTCAAGGGTTAGTCCCAGACATCTGTAATTTTAAAAGGCTTTAATTTTTAAAGAAACGGGGTTTCACTATGTTGCCCAGGTTGAAGTATGCACTACAGCTCTGAACTCCTGAGGCTCAAGCTATCCTCTGGTATCAGCCTCCTGAGTAGCTGGGATTACAGGCATGTGTCACTACTCTCGGCACAGTAACTTTTTTTTTGAAACAGAGTCTTGCTCTGTCGCCAGGATGGAGGGCGGTAATGCAATCTTGGCTCACTGCAACCTCCACCTCCTGGGTTCAAGTGATTCTCCTCCTTCAGTCTCCAGAGTAGCTGGGATTACAGGTACATGGCACCATGCCTGGCTAATTTTTGTATTTTTAGTAGACCTTGACCTTGTGATCCACCCACCTCAGCCTCCCAAAGTGCTGGGATTACAGGTGTGAGCCACCACATGCGGCTCAGAGTAATTTTTTTTTAAAGTTCCACAAGGAACTTGATGCACAACAAAGAGAGATAATCAGAGGTTTTTGCTTTAATTTACAATTAAATAATAACTTGTAATTCTCCAAGTTATTACAGAAAGATGTTACTATCCTGAGACAATACATTTACAGTTCCTGTTACTGCTTGATCAACTACTCTTTTCTATATTCTTCTGCAAGGCTTACTTGAAAATTTATTCATTCTCCAAGCAAAGGTAAATACATTAGTTTCTCAGGATCATTCCCTGACCTATGTTTGAGTTAAGGGACCTGTCTACATGTTTTACAGCACGCTACTCTGGTTTTCCTCTCTCTGGCATTTATCAGTCCTGTAACTCCCTGTTAATCTAGTCAATATTCAACATTAGACTAACTCTATGAGGGCAGGGACCACAGCTGTCTGGTTTGATATTCTGCTTTTAACACCTAACACAATTCCTGGCATTCTGCTGACATATATTAAATGAAGAAACTTTATGTCTGTATAAGTAATGAAAGAAAACAGATTCATTTATAATAAACGATGTGTATTTGCAAAGGAGTTCCTGAAGCTGGCACAATTAGAGACCATTATATTAAACCTTTGTGCCTCTGTCCTTATTAGGTATTGCAGAAACCAACTTTTGTAACAATTTATATACCATACCGATTAAGGTATTTTTTTACCTGGAAGTTTAAGCTTTCTACAGCAAGAATTACAGTGATGTTTTGCTCTGAAGTTTTTAATTGCATCTTCTCCTAGATTTGCTGGACCAAAAACCATATCACAGGACCTGTGGAATTGGTAATTTAAAAAAAAAAATTACAAAAAAAGGCAGTTTATGCAGGTACAAATGTAAAATGTGAAATTATGCCTTAATGAAATAGTTAAAACTTATTACCTCTTTTCTTCTGCTTTTATCACAGATGGGTCAGTCAAATTTTCACCAACACCTTTGTGCGTGTATATAAAAAAATTATATAATTGATATAAATACTGACATTTGCATAATAAAAATCATCTTAAGAGATGTTAAAGTATCATCAATCATTACAATATTGAACTATTCAAAGGAATATAGTTCTTCTCTCTTGATATTTCATAATTTAATTTATTACCCTGGCATTCTACCAGGGAGAGGCACAGCCCCTTGTAATGTGAACAAGAGTTAAATGTCAGAGTTGGTAGACAGGCATGTAAGTTCCCAATCCTACAGTGCCAAAAATGCAAATACCTCCTTACTTATAAAAGGTCTGGTCAATCTGCCCTTGTTTCACCTTAGTTAGCAAAGAACAATTTTGTACATGAAGGAATAATCTGTAGCACTTTAAGAGTGTTTTTTGGATTGGCCAAGCTCAGTGGCTCACGCCTATAATCCCAGCACTTTGAGAGGCTGAGGTGAGTGGATAACCTGAGGTCAGGAATTCCAGACCAGCAAGACCAACATGGTGAAACCCCGTCTCTACTAAAAATGCAAAAAAAAAAAAAAAAGAAAAAAAAAAAGTTAGCCGGGTGTGGCAGGTGCCTGTAGTCCCAGCTACTTGGGAGGCTGAGACACAAGGATCGCTTGAACCCGGGAGGCGGAGGTTGCAGTGAGCTGAGATCGTGCCACTGCACTCTAGCCTGGGCAACAGAGCAATATTCTGTCTCAGAAAAAAAAAAAAAAAAGTGTTTGGGATCTAAAGAAAAAAACACACTCATTAACACATAGCATATGTCCTTGCAAAACATTCATGCATTCATGTACATAAAGAGTAAGATTGTGAAAATCTTTCTTCACCTCCAGCCCTCTTCAAAAGTATGATTAAATCCTTTCAGTCTCTCATATATTCACGTGTATATGTAAATATATATACACACATATACATACCCTTAAGACCTACAGATATTTTGATAATCACAAATATTTAACCCATTAGAACAAAATCTAATAAAAAGGTTCAATTTCACAATTAGAATTAGAACACGGTATTATTTTCTACCCAATAGGAATGGCAAACACTAAGAATATTCAACACTGGAAAGACTATGAGAAGCAGGAACTTCCACAGAATGCTGAGTATGATTTCTGATAAGCTTTTGGGAAAGTAATCTGGCAGCTGTTATTAAAATTAAAATTGTACTCATCTCTTTTCTAAGCCAATTTAGGAACTTACTTAATGGAAATAAAAGTAGCAGTGCATGGAGTATGGTTTGCTGCAGCACTGTTTGTGGAAGCAAAAAACTAAAAATAGAGTGAATGTCTATCAAGACAGGTGTAAATCATGCTACAGCTGCTACACTATGGACTATCACACAGCTATCAAGGAAATAAATCCAGAAAAATGTCCATGATATATTGTTAGATAGAAAAAAAAACAAAAAAAACTCATGATCCCAGTTGGGGTAAAACCCCAAATAATAAAAAATAGGGAAAAAAGTCTCCAATTGTGTATATGTCTTCACAGAAGTAGAGAAATAAAAAAGATAGGAACACTTTATTCTTTACGTATCTTACATACTACTGTTTAACTTGTAGTAATTATCTAAAATATTCCTGTGTAAAAACTGCTCAATAAACATTATGTTGATATGGAATGTAGTCGGTGAAGATGCTGTGAACATTGTTCAAATGACAACAAGGGATTTAGAATATCAAATAAACTTTGTTGATAAAGCAGCAGGGTTTGAGAGGGTTGACTCCAATTTTAAAAGAAGTTCCACAGAAGGTAAAATGCTATCAAATGGCACTGTGTGCTACAGAAAAATCATTCATGAAAGGAAGAATCAATCAATGTGGCAATCTTCACTGTGGCCAGTCAGTGGTTCATGCTTGTAATCCCAGCATGAGCCACTGCCTGGCCACAGTGATGTTTGGAACTGCTTGAGGTCAGGAGTTCAAGACTAGCCTGGGCTACCCAGTGAGACACCCATCTCTACAAAAACTTTTAAAAATTAGCTGCATGCAGTGACATGAGCCTGTAGTCCCAGCTATGCAAGAGGCTTAGGCAGGAGGATGGCTTGAGCCTGAGGAGTTTTGAGGTTACAGTGAGTCGTGATTGAGCTACTGCAATCCAGCCCGGGCAACAGAAAGAGACCTTGACATCATTTAAAAAAAGGAAAGAAAGAAAGAGAAAGAGAGAGAGAAACAAAGAGAAATTGCTGCAGTTATCCCAAACCAGCACCTATCAGTTAGCAGTCATCAACATGGAGGCAAGATTTCACCAGCAAAAAAGATTACAGCTTGATGAAGGCTTAGATGATTCTTAACATTTTCTAACAATAAGGTATTTTTAAATTAAGGTATTGTGTTCTTCACATACAATGTTATCACACACTTTAGACTACAGTATAGAGTCAATATAACACTTTTTTTTTTTTTTGAGATGGAGTTTCGCTTTTGTTATCCAGGCAGGAGTGCAATGGCGTGACCTCGGCTCACCGCAACCTCCGCCTCCTGGGTTCAGGTAATTCTCCTGCCTCAGCCTCCTGAGTAGCTGAGATTACAGGCATGCGCCACCATGCCCAACTAATTTTTTTTTTTATATTTTTAGTAGAGGCGGGTTTCACCATGTTGACCAGGATGGTCTTGATCTCTCGACCTCGTGATCCACCCGCCTTGGCCTCCCAAAGTGCTGGGATTACAGGCTTGAGCCACCGCACCTGGCCAACATTTTTTTTTTTAAGACGGAGTCTTACTCTGTCACCCAGGCTGGAGTGCAGTGGCACCATATTGGCTCACTGCAACCTCTGTCTCCTTGGTTCAAGCAATTCTCCTGCCTTAGCCTCCAGAGTAGCTGGAATTACAGGTGCCCACCACCATGCCCGGCTAATTTTTAAATATTTTTAGTAGAGACAGGTTTTCACCATTAGCCAGGCTGGTCTCCAACTCCTGACTTCAGGTGATCCACCTGCCTCAGCCTCCCAAAGTGCTGGGATTACAGGCGTGAGCCACAGCACCCGGCCAAATATAACTTTTATAAGCACTGCAAATCCAAATAATTCATGTGACGTGCTTTATTGCAATATTTGCTTTATTGCAGTGGTCTGGAACCGAGCCTGCAGTATCTCTAAGGTAAGCCTGTCATTTTAAACTTAATTGTATTGGCTGGCCAGGCGCAGTGGTTTACAGCTGTAATCCCACTACTTTGGGAGGCTGAGGTGGGTGAATCACAAGGTCCGGGGCTCGAGAACAGCCTGGCCAACATGGTGAAACCCTGTCCCTACTAAAAATACAAAAAATTAGCCAGGTGTGGTGGCACGCACCTGAAATCCCAGCTACTCTGGAGGCTGAGGCAGGAGAATTGCTTGAACTCAGAAGGCGATGGTTGTGGTGACGGGAGATCATGCCACTGCACTCCAGCCTGGGCAAAAGAGTTAAGACTCCATCTCAAAAAAAAAATTGTATTGGCCTAACTCATAACAGATATCCAAGTTTTTCATTACATATACCACCTTAATCATTTTTACAAAGGCATGAACTACTGAAAAAAGTAAAATTGTTTTACACAGATTTTCATTCTTGAGCTGAATCAATACCCTGTTTGCTTTTCAACGACCCTTTTATATTTCTACCTTCACACTAAAGAGTCGCCGAGTAATAAACATTTTAAAGAATTGTTCTCATGTGATTTAAAATCTGGTCTGTGTTTACATTTGAAATTAAGTCTGCTCTTCAGGGAGAAAAATTATGGAAGCCATAATGAAAAGCAGAGTTGACAACATGCTCAATTTAACTTTCCTCTGACCCACTGTGAAGCTCAGCAGACATTACTCCAAGCAAACCTGCCCTCTTGTAGCCACCACTTTTTTTCTTTCATATGTATGACAAGGTCTATCAACTCAGATGGCTATGAGCGATTTTTCTCTCTATAGTTGCATACTGTTCTACCTATCAGGTGCTGAATTTACTTTGACTCCCCTTGAATCTGGGCTACCCTTATAAGTTGCCTTGATCAGTAAAATGTGGCAAAAGGCATCTCAGCCAGTCCTGGGCCTAGCCTAAAGAGTTCTGCCTTCTCTCTACAAGAAGCCAGCTGCTATGTAAGAAGTCTAACTACCTGAAATCACGATGCTGTGAGAAAGCCCAAGCTAGCTAGTCATGTAGACAGGGAACACTTGGAGAATTGAGGAATTCAGTTGACAGTGAACAGAGACCTCAGACACTTGACTCCAGTCAAGCTGTTCAATGTCTCCAGTCATTCCAGTCTTCTGAGGTGACAGCAGAGAAGGGACATTCCCACTATGTCCCATCAAAATTTCTGAATGAAAGAACTGTAAGAAAATAAAACGGCAGTTGTTTTAAATCCACTAAATTTCTAGGTAGTTCAGTTCACGGAAAGTAACATAAATACCAGGAACACTAGAGATATTTGCTATTTTTAAAGAAAGTCTTTACACTTTTGAAATATTAGACTGCATATCTTAGAACAGAAAATTTTTATATGTTTTTGCTTAAAACATCTATATTATCTTAACAACAATTAAGACAGCCAGGCTGGGGTGTGGTAGCTCACACCTGTAATCCGAGCACTTTGGGAGGCTGAGGTGGGCTGATCTTGAGGTCAGAAGTTTGAGACCAGCCTGGCCAACATGGCAAAAACCTATCTCTACTAAAAATACAAAAACTATCTGGGTGTGGTGGTGGGTGATCCCAACTACTTGGGAGGCTGAGGCAGGAGAACTGCTTGAATTTGGGAGATGGAAGTTGCAGTGAGCCAAGATCGCCCCGTCACACTCCAGCCTGGGCGACAGAGCGAGACTCCACCTGGAGGTTGGAGGGTAGAGATAGCCAGATTCTATTACTCAAGGCCCTGATGGCTATATGCTATGACTGTGACTAACTTGCTTTTCTTTTTAATAGTTTCTACTGGCCTAAGATTTTATCTATCTATAAATTAGCAGATTCTGCATAGTATAACATATGAATAGGTAAGAACCTACTGCACAATTTCACTTTAGCAATATTTAATAAATTTACCTTGTAAATCAAGTACCAGTAACTCCCCTCTTGTATATTCATAAGTCCAGTGGCTAAAGGCTAGCATGATCTCTTCCAGAGTATTAGTTGGAATAATCTCATCTCCATTATTATTGTTGTATTTTCTAAATTCTCCAGTCATACATTCTTCCACGGCAAACCACTGTCCTGCTGAATGGCAATACAGCAGGAAAACTTCAAGGAACCTTATTAAAAAAAGTTATAAATATTACTAGCAGTTAATAAAATTCTAATTGATCTACAAAATGGGTGTTTAAACATTCAACATCAAAAACAAAGGTCAAAATGGACTGCTATCCATATAATAAAAGATCCCAGAAAAAATTACAGATTTACCTTGGAGAATATGGTATGGATTTGGGTTTCATTTGATTAAAGGCAAATGTAAGCTTTTGTGCTGCTCTCTGTTGTTGAATTTCCTAAAAGCGGGGAGAGAACCCTTGTTTAATATTTAAACTAAGATTATATTTGGCTCACTGATATTTCAGAAGTTAGAATATAAAGCTTAAATTATGTTTCACTATTAAACATTCACCACCACTTACTCGCAGACAGAGATGCAGAACTGTATCTTCTTTATAAATACTTGACCATGTATTAACCACCTCCGGAAGAAAAGATTTGATAATATAAAGATGCCCTGATTTGAGGATATCATGTTCTGACCAGGTACACTGTACTTTGACAGCTCTTCGTAAACCTCCTCCCATCTCCTCTTTGCTTAAAAACTCTATTTTGGCACAGAGACCAAGTTGTGACCAAGAAGACATGCTGTTATTTAGTATGTTGGGTGAACTCTCTTCCAAACGATACACTGTGACAGGCTCCCCTGCAAAATGAATGAAAACAACTTAAGATTAAATTATGACTCTTTAAAAATGACAACGTAAAATAAAAATTAGCAGGTATCTTTCATTAAGGAAGAGAAGATAAAATGGACCAGTATGTGGTTTTATAAAAAGAAATTTAATAGCTATAGGTAAGAAATACTTCTAAATTCATCTGTAATAATAAGCATTTTTGAAATTCTGAGCATTTTACAGAAGACTTTTAAAAAAGCAGCTGAAATTATAAACACTTCTGAACTGAGCACAGAGGTTAGAGCTATCTGTTTCATGGACACTGTGAGGTCAATTTATACATGTTACCAGATAGTGGATCAAGAACTTTTTAGAATTAGAATATATTGTTGCTTCTGGATACGCCAATAATGGAGAAATTCAATACTTCTGATGTCTCCCTTCATCTATTCAAACATCCCTCACCCTTATAGTAGTCGGATTAAGAATGTATTTGAAATGGATACTTCTTAATGTGATCCCACCCACATTCTATATTATAGCCACAAACAACTAAAGGGTGAATTTTCCCTTTTATTTATTTCTTTAACTTCTGGATTTACCTCTTGGAGGCACAGGTGTAAATGGAATGCTCTGTGATAACCTCATCAAGTTATTTCTTTCCACAGCTGCATAAAAATGAGAAAGAAAGAATGAAATCCCTAAAGGTTCAAAATATTATTAAATTTTGTTTTTAATATTACTGACCTGAGTAATAGTAATTTGTATCCATAGCTGGCTTAAATGGAGAGGTTAGACCTAAAATGGCAAATACATAAATGAGACCATTTAAAAAGTACTAGTACAGTAAAAACGTTAACTCGGATATTCTTATAAAATAATCTTAAATTTCCATCATGTAACTGTTCCTCACAAAAACAGAAAAAATGAGGGAGAAAATATGTCCACTGTGCTATATTACCCTATTTCATTATGCCAGATTAGTAAGAGCTGTGCATTTAGACACCTACAAGAGCAAAATTATGTTTCACACTATCTTAACTCCTGCCATAAACTCATTCTTTTCATACCTCCCACTCAAAAGGAAAAATCTCTTTTTGATTCTGACATTTGGGGGGTGGGGACTGTAGCCATGTAGCCATTTTAGCAGGTCTACTAGGAGAAGATGAACTTCTGGAATGTGAAACATACCCACCAAAAGCCCTTCCCCCATCTTTTTTGTGTGTGTGTGTGTGTGTGTGGACTTGACCTTTAAATGTAGCAATAAGATAAGGACACAAGGCAAATCTGCTATGTGCTAAATTTCTAGAACACAAATAAAAAGAAACTTACTGCCTTGCAGGAAAAGGAAGTTAGTCAATAGTTTTAATACTGCACAGTAAGTATAAAAATATACTTTAAAAATGTGTATATACACATATGTGTGTATACATACTGCAAGACTATATGAAGTACCTAATGTCTTGTGGTTGAGAAGACGTCAAAGGCTGTCTCAGAGTAAGAGAAGGGGGAAAACAGTATTTTGCAAGGCACTGGTGTGTAAAGGGCAACATTTACAAAGTCATGGAAGTGTTAAAGTACATGCTACACTTGGGAAACTGTACACAGTTTAGTATGAACAGGACTAATTATATACACATCAGAATGACCTATAGAGCTTTTTGGACATACACCCACCCAGATGTCACTGCAAAATATTCTAATTCTGTAGGTATGTGTTATCATATAAGTGATTCTCTACAAATGATTCGAATATGCAGCTAAGACTACAAATTAATGGGCAAGAATATTGGCATAACTGTAGGAGGTGAGGCTACAGAAACAGAGCATATCAAATTGTTAGGAGGTCAGGCACAGTGGCTCACACCTGTAATCACAACACTTTGGGAGTCTGCTGTAGAAGGACTGCTTTGAGGCCAGGAGTTCAAGATATGGCAAGGCCCCATATCAACAAAAAAAGTTTAAAAATTAGCCTGGCAAGGAAGTGCCCACCTGTGGTCCTAGCTAATCAGGAGGCTGAGGTGGGGGGATTGCTTGAGCCTAGGAGACTGAGGCTGCAGTGAGCTAAGACTGTACCACTGTACTCCAGCCTGGGTGGCAGAGAGATCATGTTTCTGGGGGTGGAGTCGTGGGGGTGGGAACTGTCTAATATGTCACGTTGAAGAAGAACACTGGATTTTATTAAACAACAATGGGCAAAAATGTAAAGTAGAGGAGTGACTAGATCAGATAGTTTAGAAAAAGCAGGCTGGGCATGATGGTTCTTGCCTGTAATCTCAGCACTTTGGGAGGCCAAGGCAGGGGGATCACGACGTCAGGCGTTCCAGATCAGCCTGGCCAACAGGGTGAAACCCTGTCTCTACAAAAGTACAAAAATTAGCCAGGCATGGTGATATGCACCTATAATCTCAGCTACTTGGGAGGCTGAGGCAGGAGAATTGCTTGTATCTGTGAGGTGGAGGATGCACAGTGAGCCAAGATTGCATCACTGTACTCTGTACTCCAGCCTGGGCAATAGTACAAGACTCCCATCTCGGCCAGGGGTGGTTATCATTTTGGTGGCAGAACAGAACATATTTGAGAAGTAAAACTAGAGGCAAGGATCCCCAAACTGGCCTAACTACTTTGAGTACCTATTTGGTAGTAATTACCAAATGTGAACACATGCTAACTTTGACTCAGCAATTCCATTCCTAGGCATAATGTCAATAATAAATGCATGAGTATGTTTATCAAATAATATGAACAAGAATGCTTATAGCAGCAAGTCATAAAAGCCATACAGTGGAAGCTACTGAAATGACCTCCAAATAGCAGAATGGATAAGTAAATTCAACATATTCACATAAGGAAATCCTATATATTAGTGAGAATGCACAAATTACCACTACACAGAGCAATATCGATGCATTTTATAACAATATGCTAAGAGGAAGAAGGAAGACACCAAACAGTATATACTGTACAATTTCATTTATATAGCCAATATGCATATACATGCAAACACTCACACACACCCCCACCAAATTGGTGAAGCTTCTGTCTTAGGGGAAGAAACTATAAGATGAAGTAGAAACAAAGGAATGGGGACATAAGCAAAATTGTTTTTGGGTGCTGATTACATGGCTATACTTACTTTGTAAGAATTCAGTGAATTTTGCACTATTCTGTATTCACCATACACTTTGATAAAAGGATGAAAAAGTAATGGTCTAAACTGAAAGGAGCAGTGGGATGTACAGTGGAGGATGGATTTTAGAGACACATAGGAAGTAAATGCAATAGGACTTTGTGACTACAAAGTCAAAGTGGTCAAGAATAACTCAGCTAAAAGTTTCATTTGTTAAAACAGAAAATATTAGAGAAGGAGCAGACTGTGTAGCAGAGACTAAGTGGGCAGGGAAGAAGTGTGACAGTAAAGAGATCATCATTCATAGGGTGGTTCATGTGTTTGTGAAACATCTATAGTAAGGAGAAACGATAAGAGGGAAGAACTTTTCACTACTGTGGCTTTGTCTAGCTTGAAGTCTAAAATGTCTTACCTAGAATAATGCGGTGTATGCTGTAACAGATCATGTAAGATTCTCATTTTTTCACATTAAATCTACCACACAGACTCACCATTTAATGTTCCTTCTTCAGATGGCCTAAAGAAACACCAAAAAATATAGTATAAGCTGTGCTACAATTTACATTTTGGCTATCATTTAATTTTTTTATTTATAAAATTAACATTATATAATAAATTATTAAGGAAATTATGATATTGATTCCCTTTGTCTGAATATTTGCCATTTCCCTTAAGCCAATTCCAATCAATAGATATATATATCCATATGTATCTACTTGTTAATAACCTAATATCTCTAATTTATGCCTAAATATTATTAGTAGTTTGGTGCCAAATTGAAGGCTCTATACTAATAAACTATTTCATAACTTCTGTATTTGTGGAGATTCATTCCAGTACTGTAACAATACACTGAGATGACTTTGCAGGATACTAGAAATATTTCAACAGAATTGATGGGCAAAGAACCGATTGAAAAGTAAGTAGATGTCCTTTTGCCTCTTGGTTTCTAATGTTGAAAAATATTTTTCCCAATGTTCACTGTAATTATTTTTAACAACATATACTGGCACCAAGTGAAGGTTCTTTTACTTCCAAATTCCAGTGTCAGTTAGACACACAGGTATAGCAAAAAGGAGAATGGAATGAGAATAAAGGAAAACGGGTTAGAGGCTTAGCACTTTCATCATACAACTACATAGCCTTACTCAGGAACGAAAGGACAAGATCCAGAAAGGACCTTGGAAGTAGATAACCTTGTCTCTTTCCAGCTCCTACATTCTACCTGACCCTGTTGTTTCCTGTTGATTTTCATCTTAATAGAAACGTTTTCTTATAAAAATTATTCTGAACCTAATATCATCCCTTTGCCTGCTGCTAATCAATCACTCTTTTCTCAGCACCCAAAGAGTTGCCAATCAGCTCCACCTTTATGGGTAGTTCTTGGGGTCAGCATTCTGCAAGACAATGTTCTTTTGTTAGACACCAGAATTAACACCAACCTGAAGTACCTATTCTGTATTTACATCTATGGCTTTGGTTATAAAAGAAAATATTCCTTGAAGAGGTGTGACTATAGGTAGGTTTTCCAAATGCCATTCCAGGGTCAGGATACTTAATTTGAACAGCTGCTTATCCTGTGGTCCAGGTTTATTTTCTTCTCTATATAGCCAGATTTACTTTTTTTAAATACAATTATTTTATTTTTTGAGACAAGGTCTTGCCGTCGCCCAGGCTGGAGTGAAGTTGTGCAACCATGCATGGCTCACTACTCCAGCGCTCAAACAATCCTTCTGCCTCAAGCCTCCTGAGTAGCTGGGACCACAAGTGCACCACTATGCCAGCAAATTTAAACAAAAAACAAAAAAGAATTTTTTTTTTTTGGTAGGGATGGGGGGGATCTCACTATGTTGCTCATGCTGGCCCCCAACTACTGGGCTCAAGCAATCCACCACATTGGCCTCCCAAAGTGCTGGGATCACAGGTACAAGCCACCATGCCTGGCTCAAATTTATTTCTGATTCACAGAAGCAGAAAAACACTGAATAATAATAATTTCCCCCAAATTGGTCTCTCTGCTCAAGTAATCCATATGGGAGAATAACTCTATCATGCTTCCAGTATCAGATGGGTGTCAAACCAAGACTTTTTCTTTTCGAAATCCTTTGGAATTTTAGAATACTAATTCCTAGAATGGAAATACAGAGATTATCTTAGATTCACTTTACCCTTATGTCTAATCTGTACTAAAAAGTTTCACTTTCTGGGGACAATTACCTGTCAGATTGCCTTTAGTTTCCACTTTTGATTTTGGATTACCACATTAGCTTTCTAGTGGATCTTTCTGTATGCAGGCTTTCTAATGTATACTGTATATTACAGTTCTAATCATCAAAGTGCTTTCCAAAAGTAGATGCAAGGTTTGATTAGAATGATGCATAGAGAAGGCAAGCAAGTACAAAAATAAAGCCTCAAACTAGATCTCCCAACAAATTTATTCAGGAATGGTAGAAACAGGACAATAAAATCATAATTGTATCGTTTTTAGGAAGACCTTAGTAGAGTTGTAATTATATGAAAATAATAAATTTTAAATGTATATATTAACTCATAATAAATTTGTTCCCCTATTCTCATCTATGTGAAAAGAGGAGATGCTAGAATAAGCAATCATCACCAAGAAAAACGTTAAAGGATGATGCAAAGAGCAGGAAAAAAGACAACATTCAATAATCATGATACTTTTCAAGCTAATGATGAGAAAAAGCTTACTTACATTTCTCTGTTTGATGGTCTATCTTGTAACCAATCCTTCAGTAAAAAAAAAAAAAACACACATACACACAAGAAAAACCTTACATACAAATCTCTAGAAGCATAACTTTAACTTTTTTCTTATATTTTAAGAATAAAAGGCTAAAAAAATTAACATAAAGTTATTTCATAAAACTGAATAAAACAATTAATTACAACTGTATTTACTGTAAATGTAACTACATAAGTCTATTCAAAAAGGTAGAAAAAGAATTCTGTTATTTCCCACAACATAATCTAGTCTTTATAAATTTTTATATTGTTTGAGGACAATTCTATTCTCTTAAAATATATATTTGTTTCTGTGATTCTAAAAATAATGTGAGCCTTGTCAAATAACCATAAAATACAAACAGAAAAATGAAAATCATGTAAGCTGTGAATGCTCATGACATTTAGACATATTTCACTGTAGCCTTTGTTGTGTATATGTGCATATGGTTTTTATTCTGCAATTGTATAATGATCTTCCTAGGTGTGGGTTTATTTTTACTTTCCCAGTTTGAGACTCATTCTGCCTGAATTTGAATCTTCAAATAGTTTATCATTTTGGAAAATACTAAACCATTTCTAATCTCTTCAAATTTTGTCTACTCTCTCAAAGCCAGTTACATATATATCTTCCCTGTCTCTTTTATCTTTAACATATTTTCTACCTTTTATTATGTAGTTTGTCTTTTTTTTTTTTTCACTTTAATCATCTTTTGGACAATTTATTATTATTCAATCCATTTAATTATAGTCGTGCTGCATTCTGGCCCAGTTTAGTAGTTTTTCCTTCAGATGTGCCTAATCTGTTAATTAACTCCCACTGAGTGGGTTTTTTTTGAGAGGGAGTTTTGCCTGAAGCCCAGTCTGGAGTGCAGTGGTGTCATCTTGACTCACTACAACCTCCACCTCCTGGGTTCAAGTGATTATGCTGCCTCAGCCTTCTGAGTAGCTGGGATCACAGGCATGTGCCACCACACCAGGATAATTTTTGAATTTTAGTAGAGATGGGGTTTCACCATGCTGGCCGGGCTGGTCTTGAACTCCGGACCTCAAGTGATCCACTTCCATCGGCCTCCCAAAGTGCTGAGATTATAGGCATGAGCCACAGTGCCCAGCCCCCACTGAGTTTTTTTAATTTCAAGTTTTTTCAAATTTGAGTCTTTTTGAATAGTATCTCCTTTTCTTGTGTTTTATGTTTAATACATTTTTATGTCTATAATCACTTCAACCATACTTATTTTATCATCTATAACCAATAATTCTACGATCTTAAGTTAGAAATCTAATAATCTTTATGTAAGTTGAGTTTTCTAAATTGCCATTGTGAGGTCAGCTTCAATAAGGCTTTAATTTGTTGCAAAGTTGTGCAGCTCAGGGTCAGGATGGGTCCCTCAAGAAAGGAGGATTTGTTACTGCGAATCTGTGTTAACTAACCTCTCTCCCCACTGACACCACTTTTTTCAATAACAGGATTTTAACAACATAATCTCTCTATGCCAGAACAGATATATTTTGAATGTTAAGTCAATATGTTCTTGATCAAAATTATGAGCACTGACTTCTATATATTTGACTATAAAGGAGTAATTTTTCTGCCTTCTCCTGAGCTTTTTGTCTTGTCAGTGTGTGCTTTTAAAGGTAATTTGCAAAATCAATTATTATCTCAGCTGGAAATGAGTTCATATAATTAGCTTCAATTCAAACAGAAAGAGACTCCTGCCTTAATTCTGTATAACTTTTTCTTTAAAATTCCTGACTATTCACTGTAAGAAGAAACTTTTCTATAACTGCTACTATGAGTCAGTTTTCGAAGGAAAAGTTTTTTGAGTTTTTGATACAGTCCCAGATACCACCACTTTGTAGCTCTTCTCTAATAATATATATTGCTTTAATTGAAATTTACAAACCGGTATTAAAGCTGTTTTGGAATCTACTTCATGAGTGTCTTCGGTAGATGGTCTTCTACTGATTTTTTCTGCTAAAAGAAAATTTAAAAATATAAATAAAGTTACACAACTGAAGTTTTATGAATACCAACTAACCAAACACAAAGCTTTCCAGGCATAGTATAACCTTCATAAAATAACTCAACTTCTCCTCAATACATTGAATGCAAGAGTTATATGACGACCATAAATTATTCAATTTATTTCCAGTAAACTATTTATTGTGAAAAAGCAACAATAAATGAAGTAAAAAAAGATTTCTCTCCCTCCTGTTCCCAAATCACCCTAAGAGCGGTAAAGGTAATTCATTTCTTGTACATTCTTCCTGGGATAGTTGTATTTGTGTATTATCCTCACCACCCACTCCAATATTTAACATAAATGGTAGGGAAATATGTATCTTGAGGTTTTTGTTAGTTTTTTTTTTTTTCTGAGATGGAGTCTCACTGTTGCCCAGGCTAGAGTGCAGGGGCATGATCTCGGCTCACTGAAACCTCTGCCTCCGGGGTTCAAGTGATTCACCTGCCTCAGCCTCCTGAGTAGCTGGGATTACAGGTGTGCACCACCATGCCTGGCTAATTTTTATTTTTAGTAGAGACAGTGTTTTGCTATGTTGGTCAGGCTGCTCTTGAACTCCTGACCTCGTAATCCATCCACCTCAGCCTCCCAAAGTGCTGGGATTACAGGAGTGAGCTACCACACCTGGCTCTTGTGTTTTCTTTTTTTTCCAAACTTTAAGCTTTGAGATTTTCTTTTCTTCTTTTTTTTTTTTTTTTTTGAGACAGAGTTTCACTCCTGTTACCCAGACTGGAGTGCAGTGGCATGATCTCAGCTCACTGCAACGTCTGCTTCTGGGTTCAAGCGATTCTCCTGCCTCAGCCTCCCAAGTAGCTGGAATTACAGGCATGTGCCACCATGCCTGGCTAATTTTGTATTTTTAGTAGAGACAGGGTTCTCCATGTTGGTCAGGCTGGTCTCAAATTCCTGACTTTAGGTGATCCGGCCGCCTTGGCCTCCCAAAGTGTTGGGATTACAGGTGTGAGCCCCTTCGCCCGGCCAGCTTAGAGATCTTCTACAGAAGAACAGAGATTTCCCTATTATGTTTTGATGCTATCTTTATTTCATACTGGATATACAGTAATGTATTTAAACAAACTCCTACTGATGGACATTTGATCTGTTTCCAATCTCTTCCTATAAAAAAATGCTTCAATGAATAATCCTTTTTCCCCAACTTATGATAATACCTTTGTTGTCATACCTTGTTGATCTGAAATGAACTTTAGAATTAAACCTACTTCCAAAAAAAGGATATTAAGTTACACATCAACTTGGAGAAAGCTTACAATTTGATGGTACAATAAAGGAAAACTTCAGAATGGAAGAAGGAAAATCTCAGAACAAAATTTATATTCCAGAAGTAGAGGACAAAAAGACCAGACTGAGATATATTAGAAGACTCTGGGCAAAATGTATTCAATATGATGAAACTGACAGAATAAATTACATTCTGAATATCACGAAGAAATTTGGTCAAATACCGGAGAACTTAGGGTGCTGATCTAGGCAAAACGGTAACTATACTTGGTGGAAAAGGGTGAAGGAGTGTGTGTATGTACGTTCTGGAAATTCAGAGTGAGAAAAGAGTTTAATTCTTGTCTTCTTTAGGAGGTCAACAGATATGGCCTAAAACTGAAATATGAGGATGCTGCAATAGAAGTAGGTTGAGTATCACTTTTCAGAAATGCTCGGGATCAGAAATGTTTCATATTTTTGTTTTTAAAAAAATTTGGGGACTGGGCATTGTGGCTCAAGCCTGTAATGCCAGCACTTTGGGAAGCTGAGGCAGGCAGATCACTTGAGGTCAGGAGTTCAAGACCAGCTCGGCCAACATGGTAAAACCCTGTCTTAAAAAAATATTTTTTGGAATATTTGCATTATACTCACCCACGTGAGCATCTGAACATCTGAAATCTGAAATGCTCCAACAAGCATTTCCTTTCAGTCAGTACTCAAAAAGTTTTAGATTTTGGAGCATTTTAGATTTTGGGATGTTCAACCCATATAAACATACTAACTCAGAAATAACATCTGTGTTACCTTAAATACTGACAATTATTTTTCTTTCCTCCTAATCCTTCTACCATTTCGTTTACTTGCCTTATTACTCTGGCTAGAATATAAAAGAGAAACAGTCAGAATCCTTGTCTTGCTCCCCATCTTGGGCTTTCAATAATTCACAATGAAGTAGAATGTTTTGTGATAATTTTTTGTTGATATGCTTTTTGAGATTAAGAATAGATACTGAATGTTAATCAAATACTTTCTCTGCAGCTATTAAGATGATTTCATCATTTTTCTCCTTTAATCTGTGATTATGCATCATTGTAACTGTATTTTTGAATGTTAAGACAACTTTCATTCCTGGAATAAATCCAATTCAGTCATGATACGTGTTGCTGAATTCAGAATACCAAAGGAAAATGAAAGAAGTGATGGTGAGGTGGACAATATAGTACTGTTTTCCTTAAGGAACCTTTATAATTATTCAACTTTTAAATGACGTGCATGTATAATTTTGACTCATTAAAAAAAACATGATACATCATCACAATATAGAAATATTAACGGTACAAGGCAATATGTATTGTCTGCGACCTTTTGTGTAAAAAATAAGGTAGAAAAGACGGTACTGTCATACATAATTGTATAAGCATGAAACTCTAAAGGGTAGACAAACAGTGGTTACATGTGGGGATGGAGTGAGAGCGAAACTTTTCAGAGTGTTTGTATTTTAATTTTGAACCAAAAATGTATTATTTTTAAAAGTTAAACTAGAAAAATATGTTGAATAAGTGATGATAAAGATTAAAACAGAAGATACAGATGTACAGATACATCTATAAAAGCTAAAAACAGCAGATTTGTAAAAAGTCTTTCTATTCCATCTTTAAAGAATAAACAATTTGTAAAAAATATTCTAATAAAACATTCTAATGAATGCTAAGATTACGACTTATTCAAGGTTACAGTAACTATGGCAGACCAGAATTTTCATCTTCTGACTCCTGCACCATTCACTGCTCAGGTGTTTGACAAACATAACATACATTTAAAGTGTAAATGAGTAAGTTTTCTAACACTATGCATATGCTGAAAATACTCACCTAGTTCTGAATGAAGAGGAATGGAAGTTCTATGACACTCAGTAAATCCAGCATGAGAACTCACACGTTTCAAAGTGTTTTCAGAAGTACTGTCGTTCTGCGAACACCGTGCATATACAGAATTTGAAAAAAACTTAACTAAATTTCAACCCATTGTTCTAAGTAGTATAGGAGTCCCCTGATTAATGCTCAATATGCTTTATTCTATCTGGACACCAATGGGTATATTACAGATTACGGTTATTTTCTTCAATGCCAACTTCAAAAACTGCACCAAAACACCCTATTTTGCCTACTGTTCATAAACTCATCCAAATGAATTTTTTATAATAATAAAAGCTCACAAAAAAGTTGCAAAAAATATACAAAACCGTGGGGGGGTGGAATGAAATTATTACCAATTCACTTCACTACCAAAAAAGCTATTATCTTACACATGTCTTGACACACTGATAATGGCAGGGGAGCTATTTCTTTTAAAGGATCTTGGTAACTTTTTAATTGATTCTATGAGCTACTTATATAACAAGGTTACTATCTGTTTACTATTTGTCAAATTTCAATTTGTTTTCCAAATTTGTTTTGACTTTATGTTTTTTAGGTACTTAAATCTCTATATTTTCCCTTAATATTTTTCTATTATTTATGTGTTTGGAAGGCCCTGGTTGCTTTACTGGCACAATAAATATTGCTATTTTCTTTTTTTTGGGGGGACAGAATCTCACTGTCACCAGACTGGAGTGCAGTGGTATGATCTCGGCACACTGCAACCTCCGCCTCCCGGGTTCAGGCGATCTCCTGCTTCGGCCTTCCAAGTAGCTGGGACTACAGGTGAGCGCCACCAGGGCCAGCTAATTTTTTTGTATTTTTAGTAGAGACGGGGTGAGGATGGTGTCAATCTCTTGAATTCATGATCCACCCACCTCGTCCTCCCAAACTGCTGGGCTTACAGGCGTGAGCCACTGCACCCGGCCAAATATTATTTTCGTAAAATGTTTCCTGTGATTTGAATTTTTACATATAATTCTGGAATTTATCTGAGTTTATAAAATTATATGAGAATATAAACAGACTTTTCCAAATTCATCCCCATTGTCCAATCTGTATTTACTGACAAAGCATCCCTTCCTCAATAATTTTGAATCTATTTATGGACAAAGTATGTAGCCTCGTTGCTACATACTTCTTTAAGACAGGCTCTTGCTCTGTTACCTAGGCTGGAATGCAGTGGCATGATTATGGAGGTCAAGCAATCCTCTCACCTCAGCCTCCCAAGTAGATAGAAACACAGGTGCACGTCACCAATGCTGGCTATTTTTTATTGTGTGGAGTGACAGGGCCTTCCTATGTTGCCCAGGCTGGTCTTACGCTGTTTGGCTCAAGTGATCATCCCGCCTTAGGCTCCCAAAGTGCTGCAATTACAGGCATGAGCCAACATACTCATGACCTCTGTTACAGTTTTATTTTTAGAAGGGTTACTCCTATGTCAGCAGAAATGCTTCCTTACATTTTTATGTATCAACTGTTCTGGCCACACAATATTTTAGGATCTAACACCTAATCCCGCTCACTTTTCTTCTTTTTACCTATTTTTCCAGATGAACTAATGAATTACATTCAACAATTTGGGTAATAAATGACACTTTCACATTTGTGTTCTCAACTGATAAATAGGTCATTTTTTTATATAACTTTCAACTATTTTGAAACCTCTGCCACCTATCAGAATCAATGAGTTTCAAAATGTTACTACTGCAATTAACTAGAATTTTCATTCAATTAATTTATATCTGAATGAAATAGAGTTTCTCTGGCTTTGATGCTCCATGCTCCTTACATTAGAGTGGATTTATACAGCCAGCCAAGTACTGACTTTTTTCCTGTAGTCACAAAGCAGACTCTAATTTCCTGTCTGATTTAAACTGTTTCTCCTGAAAACAGTTCTAGCTATTTCTTATTTGTTTTAAGGACTTTCCTTAGTATACTCTTTGATGCCATGATATATCAGTTTCATAGAACCACTGATAACAAGAATTTTCTTTTTTTGATGGGGTTGGAGTCTCGCTATGTTTACCAGGCTGGTCTCAAACTCCTACTCTCAAGTGATCCTCCTGCCTTAGTCTCCCAAAGTGCTGAGATTACAGGCATAAGCCACCGTGCCCAGCCAAGGATAGGAATTCTAACTTGGAACTCACAGATAAACTTCAAGGTATCTGTGAAACTACCTTACTAGAAATATTTTGTATACATGCATTTTTGTAGTAAGACGGTCTGTAGTTTTTCTTGGATTTCTAAAGGGGTATATACCCTAAAAATGGTCAAAAACTAAGTCTCTAACCATCATAAACTAGAACTCATTATTCTGTTTTTATTATTTGAATTATTTTCCTCTAATTTCTCAGTTGTTTAAATCGTCCAGGTGCGGTGGCTCAGGCCTGTAATCCCTGAACTTTTGGAAGGCTGAGGTGGGTGGACTGCCTGAGCTCAGGAGTTCGGGACCAGCCTGGCCAACATGGTGAAACTCCGTCTCTATTAAAAATACAAAAATTAGCTGGACATTGTAGCACATGCCTGTGATCTCAACCACTTGAGGGGCTGAGGCAGGAGAATCACTTGAACCCAGGAGGCAGAGACTGCAGCAAGCCTAGACCATACCATTACACTCCAGCCTGGGTGACAGGGCAAGATTCCATCTCAAAAAAAAAAAAAAGTTTAAATCAAAACACAGCTACTGCTTTTCTGCTAACTCACAGAAACTTAAAATTTCTTGTTTTTATCAAGGAGCACCTGCCACTTAAAAATTTTCAGCACGGTCCTCTTTAAGTTCATTATTGAAAAGGTGGAATCTGTGGGAAAACCCTGATGCTTTACCTTTTCCCGTTAAGAAATGTCCATTATTTTGGGAGGCCGAGGCGGGTGGATCACAAGGTCAAGAGATCGAGACCATCCTGGTCAACATGGTGAAACCCCGTCTCTACTAAAAATACAAAAAATTAGCTGGGCATGGTGGTGCATGCCTGTAATCCCAGCTATTCAGGAGGCTGAGGCAGGAGAATTGCCTGAACCCAGGAGGTGGATGTTGCGGTGAACCAAGATTGCGACATTGCACTCCAGCCTGGGTAACAAGAGCGAAACTCCGTCTCAAAAAAAAAAAAAAAAAAAAAAAAAAAAAAGAAATGTCCATTTATCCTAAATTTTATTTCTTATCTATATTGAGTGCTTCACAATACCAAAATAATACCACCAGAGTGTGGCAATACAACAATAATTTGTATAAAGAAAAAGAAAATGTAATAAACTAAGTTTTAAATAATTCTACATTATAAATGGCTTTACTAAAACTTACGAAGGTCCATAAAACACCTCATTTACCTATAAAGTCCACTTCGATCCTATATGGAATACAGACATACCATGTGTTATACTGCAATAATTATAAAATCAATTTGGTTGATGGCAGTCTGTTCTTTCTACTTCTTTTAAATTAAAAAAAAATTTTATTTTTTTAATAAAATTTAAAATTATTAAAAAATTTTTTCTTCTTTGTTTACTTTTTTCAGTCCTACAACAAAATGTTCATTCTGCTTCTTAGCACTTTTTCTCATTTCTGTTTTTCTTCCTTCTCTTTTCATCACATGTCAGGTAAGGTTACCTAAGTGATCTCAATCCATTTATTTACCTCTGTCAGTCTAAATATGCCTCAATTAAAACGGTTAGAAAACACTGCAAATTACACTCTTATGATAGGTCTGCTGAACCTATACCTATTTCCTCCATCTAAAAGCACATGGGTATATTTTAAGCTGACTTTCTGACTTTTGCATATACTAAAGAGACTTTATGTCATATTCAGGCATCTCTGTATACTCCATAGTCAAATTTCTTACATCATTCTGCTGTTCCTATTTGAGGTAAAAAAAAAAAATAATGCAACTTTTTCAAACTTAAAGGCAAATACAGAAAGGACAAAACCTAGGTAATCATTACGCCTCTATTTAATTCCAAGTTATTGATATCTAGCTAATAGATATTGAACTAAGTTAATCGATTTGGTACGGTAATTTAATCAAAATACATGCTATTAAAAATATAAAATGTTAGAATATAAAAATGCATTAGAGTTTACTTTTTATATGTGGTGTAGTAAACAATATGACCTGACAGCAATTTCATAATTAACTTGGATCACAAAAAAAGTAAGCATTCACAGAAACTCCTACATCATTATAATTTCCTTGGTTCTCACTTTAGGAAAGGCTCTCTTTTTCACTGTATATGGCACTTAATCATTTCCATAATGTAATTTCTTTAAGGGCTAGAGAAGTTTAACGCCTTTCTAGGTGTTTTTAATTATCTTGGTGTAGCCACGTTACTATTCTTAAGGCTCTAAATAGCCACAAATAATATATGACAGCAACATTTAAGAAGTAAAAACTAAACTTCGGGCAAGAAATACACCTTTTTTTTTTACTAGTTGTTCTATATATTTTGAAACTTATTTAACAAACATTTATTGAATATCCTGCATGTGTACATAACCTTCAGCTTCTTATGGCTAGACAACAGGTTTCTAAGAGGCAGGGTCATGTTCTAATAAACTTTTGAATCTGGGAAGAGTGAGCCCATTACGCATTTAATCAGTGGAAAACATATGGGGAGACGAATTTTAAAAAGATAAATGTTAAATAGGTGATGTTTTTTATTTACTTAGTAAAATTATGCAAGCTATTTGTACCTTTTTCCATGTTCCTCAATTGTTCATTTTTTCAAATTGAGGAAAGCTTCAAATATTTGGTATTAGCATGTTAATAATGCTATCTGCAAAAACTGCATTTTTACTGAAAAAATAATTAAACTTTGAACTAAACATCAAGAGAGAAAAATAAATAGAATTGTGGATGTTTTTAATATTTACTTACGGATAGTATTTCTTTTATCTTGTTTGACGTTTCTTTAAATCTCTGTAAATCCATGCTATCTCTGTGTCCTTTCACAGAAAAGAGATTGCAATGGGAAATTTTTATTTTTCTTCATCAAAATAAGGGCATTGCTTAAAGTTTATGAAAATAAGTGATTTACGCTGTTTTACAAGTCCTTCTGAAGGCTTTGGAATCTTCCTTAGCTCTTTTGACGAATAAAATAAAAAATATTTACCAAGAAGCTGATGAAGATTATGGTTGTTTTTTTTTGAGACAGAGTCTTGCTCTGTCACTCAGGCTGGAGTGCAATAGTACGATCTTGGCTCACTGCAACCTCTACCTCCCAGGTTCAAGCAATTCTCCTGCCTCAGCCTCCCAAGTAGCTGGGACTACAGGAATGTGTCACCACACCCAGCTAATTTTAGTCTTTTTAGTAGAGATGGGGTTTCAGCATGTTGGCAAGGCTGGTCTCGAACTCCTGATCTCGAATATTTGAAGATATTCAAATTCAAATCCTCCTACTTAGACTATAGTTAAGTTTATAGTAATGATAAAAGCCAAAGTCCTTATAAAAGAAACCAACATGTGATATGAATAGCTTGAAATTAAAAAAAAGAGAACAAGCATTTTTTCTATTAATAAAAAAATACATATATAATCACTCAGAAAGAATGATTTATTCTTATACCTGTAACTTAAACGAGAACAGAAAAAAATATTTATTTTGGCAATAAAACTTCAACGACTTTAGTAAAAACTGTTTCATGCACAGAGATTGTTCAGATAATATGTTAATAAGCCCATGTAAAAACTGCCACATTAAGGACAACCTAGCAAGTTATTTTAGGCACTGAACATCCTGATATTTACTGCTAGGCTATATGGAATTCATTCTAGATATATAAATACTTAACTTTTCCTTTATAATCTGTATACAGAGAAAAAATATATAATATATACATATACCCCACTGGTAATACATTAATAAAAAGGCTAAAATGCATTTTAAAAAATAAACTGGAAAAGATTTAATGTAAGAAAAGTTATGTATCTATGTATCTAGAGTGAATCTCATATAGCCTAGCAGTAAATATCAACACGTTCAGTGCCTAGGCTGGCACTTAATGTGATTTTTCCATGGGCTTATTAACATATTGTCTGAACAATCTCTATGCATGGAAGTTTTCACCAAGGTTACTGTGTTACTGCCAAAATAAATATTTCTTTTCTGTTCTTATCTTATTTAAGCTATTATTGTATAAGAATAAATCATTCCTTTTTGAAATGCTCTCCTCTGTGAATATATAAATAAGTAGACCATAAATACTAACTTTCCCAGTAGATGCCTAGATTTCCATTGTTGTTCTGATATAATTATTATCACTTTCAAAGTGTCTTGATTTGGATAAAAAATTATAACAGCCATCTATTTACAGTACATTGCTCTTTTCCAGTTGCTTCTAACCTCCCCTAGGAGGTTCTCCACGTACTTTTAACACTTAAGAATCACTCAAGTTCTTTCAACAGGAGTTATGAAATCCAACTGAAAATACTCAAATTCAAAAGACAGAACCTAAAATTCCATCAAAGAGGTAGGTGTAAATACAACTCTTACAGCCTAATTCAGTCTATTTCCCCTACTTCTGATTCTTTTTTTTTTTTTTTTTCATTTCTAGAAAGAGGATCTCATTCTGTCACACAAGCTGTAGTGTAGTGGTGTGATCACAGTTCACTGTAGCTTTGAACTCCTGGGTGCAAGCAGTTCACCTGCCTGAGCCTCCTGAGTAGCTGGGACCTCACGCACATGCCGCTACGCCCGGCTACTTTAAAAAAAAATTTTTTAGAGATGTCTTGCTATGTTGCTCAGGCTGGTCCTGAACTCCCGGGCTCAAGCAATCCTCCCAACTTAGCTTCCCAAAGTACTGGAATCATAGCTGTTTGATTCTTTTAAAAATTTTATAATTATACTCTATGAAAAGATAATAACTTATAAGTCATTACATGCATAATAACATGCAGTACATGTTATTAATTATTTTTAGGGTGATTTTTCTTAGATGAAAAAAAAATACTGATATACAAATATGAATTTGCCAAACTTACCTACAAATGCTCCAAATTCTATATTATCTCCTTCTGTAACTTTAGAGCAAACAGTTTCTTGATCTTTGGTTACAGTTTCCAAGTGGTTTTTGCAACTTGGCTGAGATGGTGTACTAACAAAAAATTTGGTTGGTGGGGATGATAGATGTGGTATGCTATTAGATGAACTGCCTAATTTTTGATTTTTATTAAATATTTTTAAGAGTTCTACTCCATATAGTCTCTGTCGCAGTTCTGGAGGGGAAACAGCACTTGGGAATAAGGCACCAGAAGAGGAACCAGCCTCTGGACAATTAAATTCTTTTCTCTGGGCTATTGCAGGTGGGTCTTGACCAAATATATTACATTGGGGATCTTTGTCATCTTTCATTAAAATATTAGAAAGAAAAGGATTATTACTTTCAAGATCACTTTTAGGAAGAGAGGAGCTAAGCGTATTTACAACACTATGCTTTTTCCATACAGAAGGTCTTATAGGACCATCACCAATAAGGTTTTGAGCCAAGTGTTTGGAAACGCTCAATTCTCGTGTGATTTCATTATGAACTTTGCTAGCCTCTGATGCTTTCTGAGCAGTGAGTGTTTTTAATGTATCTACCGTCAGGGCTGAAAGATCTTGCAAATGGCCAATTTGAGAATCTAATGATTGTAATGATCTTTTTATGTAGTTGACACGATCTCCAACTTCTTTAATCTGAATGCACATCTGTTCCACTCTGTAGGAGAGAAATAAGCTTTTTTTTACAAATGTCAAAAAACAATGTAGAAATTATTTTGTAGCCTCAATAATAATGATTAAAAAGAGAACAATTTTACATGCATTTAAACAAGATACAAATAAGGTACCGTTATTTAATTATACAAGGCCTACCTTATGTTTAAGAAGAATCCAGTGCTAATCTTATATTAAAATGCAAGATTTCAAAAAACATTTTTGTTCCAGACTATTTACTCCAATTATCCCACATCAAAGTAACACACAAAAAAGTATATACAGCTACATATACATAGAACTACCATTACTGTTACTGTAATTACACCAAACACCATATGCTTCCAGAATGTAGTGAAGCCAACAGGAAAAAAGAAATGCTGTAAAACAGTGAGGATAGTTTCAGTTTTCTCCCTCCAAACAGTAAAGAACAGTAACTCTTCTATTCTCTGTAACTAGGGTAAAAAAATAAAGAGATTGACTGATTGACCTATATGGATTAATAGAACTATCTTTTCAACATACAATATAAAACTATAACTAAACTTATTGTTTGATAAAATAAATTTAACAATGACAATGCATAAGATATATTACTAATAGATCCCATTTTGACAAATAATCGATTTTAACCAAAGGGCTCTGAACCTTTCAAACGTGACACGAATTCTCTCTTCACTCCCAGAATGAAATTTGTCATCTTTTTCATTGAAATACATCTCAACACACTGCTCTTCAAAATCATGAAGTTTCTTTTGATCTTCTTCTGTTAAGAAAAGTTCTACAGGAGGAAATGGAGACGAAAATCAATAAAGAGCTGTCAAGGTATCAACTTTAGTTCATAATTCTTGTGAATTATTCAGGGTTTCTAAGACTACCATCCATCATCTGCACTTTTTAAAGTGCACTAGACAACTATCCTTTTTTGCTTCACCACTATGATGTCAACAGAATACAATCAGGTACTTTCTCTTCCTCTTCTGATTTCCTTTTACTACACAACATCCCTCCCCATCTCTCTCATGCCTCTCCCTCACATATCCACTCAGAAAAATTTAAGGACTAATCTGATAGAACACAAAGTCTCTATAAAATCTTAAGCATAATTTGACACGATATGATCAGTTTCATGTAGTATACAGAATATACTAAAATTGTTTTTTTACAGAGCTATAAAAATAGTTTGTAGAACAGCAAAGAAGTTAGGTTTAAATTATCATTTTAACAAAAACAGATGCCATTCTCAAAATGAAGTTTAATGCTAAATCCATTTTTATAGATATCATATGCACTTAAAAATTCCTTTATGTTGTTTCCTATGTTCTATTTTATAGGAAAAAAAATTCCTTTATGTTTAGGCAAATTTAACAAAAATTTACCATAACATTAACTCACTAAGTCATTTTTGAATAAAATCAATATATAGCCTTCAGTGTAAAACTGAGAAGTGATAAAATGAAAACATTTGTCTTAATATTAATTTACTTACTTGGTCCATCCGAAGTCTTATCTTTCTTTCTTCTCTTACATATGCAGCAAAACAGAGAAACTATATGGCTAAGAATGATAAGTGGAGGAGGCAGAACTGGTTTCTCATGATAAGCCATAATAAAATGATAACGCTGGTACTTCCATACAATATTGGAAATGGCCTTCACTTGTAAATACACATTGCTAGAGAAATAATGAATAAATAAACTTTGCTAATCATCTCTTAAAGTTTTAAGTACTGATGATTTTATTGTAATTCTGTACTAAATAAGAATTCAAAAAAATATCCTTCCATAAACAAAACTAACAGCAAATAAGAAACTCGAAAAGATACAGGCAATAAGTATAATGCAAAAGTTGACATTGCTGAGAACCTTAATCAAAACTTCCCAAAAGTATCAGCAGAAAAAAAATTTTTTTTAAATTTCAAATATATTGCAACTTCATCAGAGAACACGAACCAGAGGGGAAAAAAAAAGAAAAAAAATTTCAAATATTGTATGTAAATGGGTAAGACATAAGAAAATACTCAATCTTAGTAGTAATCAAGTAAGTGCAAATTTTAAAAACCAAAATCCTGGCTGGGCATGATGGTTCATGTCTATAATCCCAGCACTTTGGAAGGCTGAGAGGCAGGAGGACTGTTTGAGGCCTGGAGTTCAAGATAAGCCTGGGCACCATAGTAAGACTGACTCTTAAAAACAAAAAAGTTAGCCAGGCATGATGGTGTATACCTGTAGTTCCAGCTACATCAGAGGCTGAGGCAGGGACTGCTTGAGCCCAGATGAAAGGCTACAGTGAGCTGTGATAGTGTCACTGCGCTCCAGCCTGCACAACAGGCTGTCTCAAAAAATAAAATAAGTTACTTTATTTACTATCAAACTAGCAACCATTAAAAAAATGATACTTAGTGTGGACAGATTGTTGAGGACACAACGCCTATTTAGACTTAAATGCAAAAGCCCTAAAAGTACATATATTGACCAGTCCTGCTTTTAGAAAAATATTCTAGGAAAATAAATATTGCTCAAAGATTTAACTACAGTGTGGTGTTTAGTAGCAAGAATTACAAACAATCTAACTGACCATAACATACTGGATTAAAAAATTATGGTCTATATCATGAAATATCAGGTAGCCATTAAAAATAGACTGAAGAGGAATATTTGTCGATCTGAAGTAATCTTCATGATACTTTGCTTAGTCATAAACAGCACATAAAACAGAAAACAGGCTAGGCACAGTGGCTCATTCCTGTAATCCCAGCACTTTAGGAGGTTGAGGTGAATGGATGACTTGAGGCCAGGAGTTACCAGACTTGGTAAAACATCACCTCTACTAAAAATACAAAAAAAATCAGCTGGGCATGGTGGCACACACCAGTAATCCCAGCTACTCGAGAGGCACTAGAATCACTTGAACCCAGGAAGTAAAGATTGCAGCAAACCAAGATTGCGCTACTCCAGCTGGGGCAACAGAGGGAGACTCTGTCTCAAATAATTAAATAAAAATACTATTTTCAGAAAGAAAAATGGCTTATATATATTCACAAAAAAATGATAGAAAGATGTACACCAAAATATTAACAGTGGATTTATTGAAAAATCTTCTATTTGCCTGTTTTCTGTATTGAATGTGTATCTGTTGGCAACCAAGGAAAAATCCCAGATAACGATTAAAGTTATAAAGAAAACTGCATGTTGAAAGATAACCAAATTTAAAATTTAGAACTCATTTGATTAGAAGAAGCATGTCTTATTTTAAATTTTTCAAATATAATTTTAGTAGTTTAGGCCTCTATAAAATTTTTAGATTTTAAGTTCTATAAATTTCCTTAAAAATATATAGAATTGCATATTAAATCATCTTATTAAAATAAGCAATTGAACAAAATTCTTACTTGAAAAATGCAATAAGAAGATTAACCATAATGATATATTGTACAAAGAGGTAGACTGCTTGAAGAAATGGAGTCAACCATGTCCCAGGACCACAGATATGAGGGATAGAAGAATCATTTGCACACACTTTAGAAAGAAAAAAAGAAAAAAAATTAAATATAGTAATTCACCAGTAACTGTTATTCGTCATTGTTTAAGGTTATTTATTTACTTAAAGTAAGTTTTGATCATGTACAAATCTGTTTCACAGATTCCAACAAAAGCCTGTGGACACAGAGTCACAGGAATCCTAGCTTAAGAGTGTTCAAACACAAAAACATTTTGTGAGAAACGTGGGTGCTACTTGTTTTACAACTTTATTCCAGAAAAGAAAGTATATACAGGTGTTATATTTACCCTTCAAGGCAGAGTTTAGCCTGAGGTGCATTAAGGAGGGTAAAATTCCTGAATCAACTGTATTATAACATTTCTGTAAGAAAAATGTCTGAATGCACCCCCCCCCCCCAAGAGGGAGTCTTGCTCTGTCACCCAGGCTGGAGTGCAGTGGCACGATCTTGGCTTACTGCAACCTCTGCCTCCTGGGTTCAAGCAATTCTTCTGCCTCAGCTTCCCGAGTAGCTGGGACTATAGGTGCCCGCCACCACACCCAGCTAATTTTCTGTATTTTTAGTAGAGATGGGGTTTCACCGAGTTGCCCAGACTGGTCTTGAACTCCGGACCTCATGATCCCCAGGTAATTCGTGATCCCCAGATAATTCTATCCAGATTAGTTTGTGGAAGCAAATACCCAAGAAAGAAAATGCAGGAAACTAAAATACTAAACCCAGTGCTTTATAACAACTACATAGTTAGAGCCACATCATTAGAAAAATAGCAGATGGCCGGGCATGGTGGCTCACGCCTGTAATCCCAGAACTTTGGGAGGCCAAAGCAGGTGGATCACTTGAGGTCAGGAGTTCAACACCAGCCTGGCAAACATGATGAAACGTCATCTCTACTTAAAAAAAAAAAATACCCAGGCATGGTGGCGTGCACCTGTAATCTCAGCTACCCCAGAGGCTGAGGCACGAGAATCATTTGAACCCGGGATGCAGAGGTTGCAGTGAGCTGAGATTGCACCACTGTACTCCAGCCTGGGTGACAGGGTGAAATTGTCTTAAAAAAAAAAGTAGCAGACAATAAAAGCCTGGAAATAACACCAAACAGAAGCCATCAAGCACAAAATTTAACCAGGCTGGTAAAACATCATTAGTTTAACTACTGTCCGAGAACAAATAATGACCACAATTTTCTATGTGGCCACCCTTGGACCTAACCACAATCCTCTCACTACATGGCCAGCCCTTGACCTAATCACCTATCAATATGAAGAAGGGAGTAACAACACAGATACTGGGGGAGGGAGGGATGAAAGAAGAAAGAATGAGAGTGACAGAGAAATAACTAAAGATTCTGTAACTCCAATGTGGAAGTCAGCAGAATACCCCTGAAAGCTGATAGCATCACTTATGATCACAGGTTATCTAGTCTCATTAACTAAGACAATATAAGAGTCAAAACGTGAATAGTAACGAAACTGAACTACACACTTAATATTCACTTTCAAAACAGGGTTGTAGTTCAAGATGGATTAAAGGTTGTTATTTAAAAAAAATAGGGTTGAATCAGTGGGAGTTGTGTCATTGATTATCCAGAGAATGTATTAACAAGTTGCAATAAAAACCTTAAGTATCTGTCATCCTCTGTAAAACTCAACATGCTGTAAGCTTTCAGTATTCACACAGGATCATTATTTTTGTCATTAACATTGTGCTTGACTTCTCAATATCGAATCCACCCTGAATAATCTAGGCTAAACATGGTAATCGCATCCTCCTTGCCTGTAACCATTTTAAAGAGAGGCAGCCTGAAGCCAACTCAAGTTAATGAAATAAAAGGACAGGTTCAAAAGGGAATTTCTGTGAAAGGGACATTTTCTTCTAAAGAGAACCATGGATAAATAGTGTCTCTTTCCTCCTGTTGCTAATGATGGTCTTAGGATCATAAGGGAAACCTACAGAGCTGGCAGTGGGATGAAAAAGAACAAGTGTCCTTAGCTATGAATTAACCAACACCCTAAAGATCAGTGGACCTAGCTCAATATTGTTATGTGAGTTATTAAATATCCTTATTGTGTAGGACATTTATTAGACTATATTTCTATTACTTGTTACTAAAAAAATCCTAAAATACTTTTTCTTCCAATTAATTTTTATGTTTCTTCTGGAGTTCACTATTAATGGTTTGACTTCTGAAAATATGCAATGTTACTATAATTCAATACTGGTTTTAAGACATAAAATAACCAAAAGGTAAATTTGTAAATAAAAAATTCTTACCATCAATTTCATATGCATAAACTTCACCAAAAATCATCCAGTATGGATTAAAAACTATATCTTTAGCAAGTGTCCAAGATGGTGCTTCACGAGGATAAAGTATTGCCTTTCTGGGAACACCAAAACTAAGTAATACAAGAGCCATAATCACTACAATGTAGAACATATTGGCCACCTGTTAAAAAATGAACACTGTTAAAATACAAGGAAGTTTAAATACTATGACAAATCTTTTTTTGAAACAGAATCTTGCTCTGTTGCCCAGCCTGGAGTGCAGTGACATGATCTCAGCTCACTGCAACCTCAGCCCCCCGGGTTCAAGCGATTCTCCTGCCTCAGCCTCCCAAATATGTGGGACTACAGGTGCGTGACACCATGCCCAGCTAATTTTTCTATTTTTAGTAGAGACAGGGTTTTACCATATTAGCCAGGCTGGTCTCGAACTACTGACCTCATGAGCCACCCACCTCAGCCTCCCAAAGTGCTAGGATTACAGGCATGAGCCATTAAGTCTGGCTGACAAATCATTTAAAAAGTTTCTAATGTTCGAATAGACAAAAAACATCCATTAAACACAAAAAACCTTTGAGATTCTTTTTGTTCCTAGTGATAGCTTTCAGAAAAATTTCATCACTGTGTAAACCTTAACATCTAAGAGATTATGAAAAAAAAATGATCTATTAAACTAAGCAAGTCATGGGCACCATTCATCTACATAATGAACTGTATCACCAATTCAAACTGAAGTGTGCCTATCTCTGGGGTACATGAAGATTTTTTAAAAGTACAGAGACTCGGGCAGATTTAGGAAATCAATTTCCATAACTTCCCTTTCCTAAAGCTTCTCTGTTCTTATAATGAAGGCACGGACTCTCTCTTCTACCTTGCCTCTGATAATTGTACTTTGCCCACTTCACAAAAAAAAAAAAAAAAAAAAAAAAGGAATACTTCTCACCCATCCTGAATCCATGGGTGCTTTGTTCTGGGACATGAAAACTTCCTAGGAGCCAAACAAAGCAATCTAAATTATTAGCATGGGTGTTGAAAAACTAAATGATACCAATGCCTGGGAAACAAATACTTTTGTAAGTCATATAATTTGTAATTCTTTAAATTCAGTAAAATGGAAAAGGGCTTAATTGAGCTAAAACCTAGTAATTAATTGAAAAATAATTCTCACTGTTAAATCACAATGTATTTTGACATAATTATGTAAAAATTCAAAGAATTAAGCAGAATGCTATAATAAAACTTTACTTCCTATTTACTTATTTAGGTATATAAGTTCTCCAGCCTGCACTACTTATTGTCCAGCCTAGACAATATAAAAAAGGGAATATATGACCAGGCAGGGTGATTCAGTAATCTCAGCACTTCAGGAGGCTGAGGCAGGCGAATCACTTGATGGCAAGAGTTTGAGACCAGTCTGGCCAACATGGTGAAACTCTGTCTCTACTAAAACCATAAAAATTAGCCAGGCATGGTGACACACGCCTGTAATCCCAGCTACTCAGGAGGCTGAGGAAGGAGAATCAGTTGAACCCAGGAGGCAGAGGCTGCAGTGAGAGATTGTGCCACTGCACTCCAGCCCGGGCAACAGAGCGAGACACCGCCTCAAAAAAAAGAAAAAAAAGGGGGGTGGGTGGGTATACATATAAAAAAGTGAATGCTTTCTCACTCTACCAACATGTAATATTCATTCATAAATAATCATCTGAGAACAGCTTCATGCAAAAGAGAATACATTTACAATAACTCTGTACATTACCCTGTGAACTTAAAATAATTATGACAAAGTAAAAGAAATTATGACATTTTCATATATTTTAAAAATAAATATACAGTGACAGTAGAAATGGAAGGCAAGATATGAAAGGTAAAGGGGACAATAAGTAGTCAAGGCTGGATAAAGTAATTTTATGGAGGTTTAAGATCAGAAAGAAAAATGTGGAGAGCTGAGAGTCTTAAAATGTCAATTCAATTGAAGAGATTAAACTTGATCTTTAAAATTTTGTTAGATTAACAAATAAATTTTCTTTTTAAATTAAGAGCTGTGTCTTTGTGGCTTGCAGAGGCCTAACACACTCCAAAATTCTTAAACTGGGTATTCTTATATGCAAAATGGACAAATAATGCCGTCATTGAGCATTTGAGAGGATTACTGAGAGAATGCATGTTTTCAAATAAACAAAATATTGTGAAACAAACCAAAAATATACTGGGATAAAAGATTTTAATAGGCAAAATATTTATCAAAACATTATCCATGCTATTTGACATATTTTAGAATACAAAGCCAGGTCAAATATTCCAAGTGAAACCCAAATTGGTATTGAAGTAATCTAAAATTATTCATGGTCTGTGGTTGATGATTCATTGTCGTCTTTGGATTTCACAAACCTTTTCGCATAAAGCCTAAACGACAACCACTTTCCATGAGGTTGATATAAATTTAATTAATTAAAAATATGTGATTATCAGCCTGCTCATAAAAATGACGATTCTTAAAGTAAAATTAAAGAAAATGAGGATTAGTTTGAATGTATAATGTATACAGAATGAGTGGGAGAAGTTTAGCATTTACTATGTGATTTTCATTAGTTTGCTATTAAAAGATGTTATTAGGTTGATGTAAAAGTAATTGCGGTTTTTGTAATTAGTCTATAAAATGTGAGGGAGATTTTTTTTTCTTATTATTTATTTATTTATTGCATTTTAGGTTTTGGGGTACATGTGAAGAATATGCAAGATTGTTGCACAGGTACACACATCGCAGTGTGATGTGTTGCCTTCCTCACCATCACCTAAGGTTTCTTCTTTTTAATCTTTTATTGTCTTTAAGCTTTTCAAAGCTGTTTCTTCTGGTTAGAAACTCCCTGCTCAGAAGAAAAATCCTATATATTTTCTAAGCTCCTTTGAAATGCCATAATCTTTGTGAAAGCCTTCATGACAGAATTGGTTACTAGCTCCTCTATCTTCACATAACAATTTTTATTGGTTCACATATTGTATTTTTGCATTTTACATATTTTTCAATAGCTACCTAACTATTCACAGGTCTATATTTAGAGACTCAATTTTGAGTTCCATGAGGATCTGGACCATGTCTTATTCATCTTTGTAGTCCCAGCTTAGTTTAACTCTTAACATAAAATAGATACACAGTGATGAAATAATGAATGTTAGAATTAGAATAGCAACAATTATGAAACTTTTGAAGGGGATGTAAAGGGAAGCTAGCACTAGGGGAAAACAGACAATGATGGAAAAAATGACCAGTTGACAGAAGAAAGACATCCTAGTGGAGGGTGGTTCTAGAGAAGATCACAAATAAAGACTTCTGTACATTCTAACTCTTCCATTTACATTACCATTAAAGTAACTAGATACCACTAAGTCACTAAATAACCTGGTAAGCAGTAAGAGCTACAACACCTTTATTTGCACGCTAAGATGTTATGCTAAACCCAATTCTTCCCCAAAAAACCTTGCTTGCCCTATTTTTCCTTGAAATACCATAATAATGCCAAAATGTATGAATAATGAGTACTACTTCTTGGGTGTGAAAAATAGTACACGAGTAATTCTCAATTAAGGGGAGGAAGACACATTCTCTTGGAGAGGAATAGTGCAGCGTGAAACAGCAAATATTATATAACAATTTACATTTAGGAAACCTAAAAATCTTATTTTCAAGATGCAAAGATAATCTTGTGAGCTTAGTAAGGTTACTTAAGAAATACTTAATTTAGAAGACTGATTTTTTAAGATTAAGGGAATATAAGAAACTCTATGAATAGATTTTGTATTAATTAAAATGGGACAAATATTTTAAAATAATTGAGAAACAGCATATATTTTTAAAGCCTATTTTGATAAAACTACTATATATTCATTCATGAGAAGTTTAAAACAAACACATGCATTCATACATGTCTTGAGGGATGGAAGGATATACACTAAACTGTTAATAATGAACGTCTCTGAATGGTGATTTGCCTGCATTTGCTGAAATTTCCTAGGAAGAACAAGAATTTTAGAATAAGGAATAGCAATAGCTATATTACAAATTTTGCCTTTTTTGCCACTGAAAACCAAAAGGAATTATGGCAAGGAGTAGACCCAATATATTTTAGATTCAGTGTATAAAAAATTACACATTAAATTTGACATCTTAGATTTAAAAAAATAAAACCTGCCACTCAGATAAGACTATGCAAAAAAGCAAAATACTGGGCATATTATCTTAGGAAAAGACTAGATATTCTGGATTTAACTTTTGAAAAATAGCCTGGATCAGTGAAGACAGGAAGGAGTTACCTAAAGTTATAAACCATAGATAGTATTGGTATAGCTAACATTATCTTGCAAAGCACAAAATGGGTGTAGGGGATTAGAAGTGAGCATGAAAAATTCTTAAGGAATAGCAGATTTGAAGTATGAGGCAAACAAACACAAAATAAAAGACATTCACTGGCTCAAATAAAACTATGTGAATAACACTTCTGTGATTTAAAAAAAAAAATCAATAAACCCATAAGTATTATCAAACATCTCTCAACTTACCATTTTTCCAATCATCATTACATAAGGTCCTGCCTGTTGATTTACAGCTAGAAAATCTAGCAAACGCACATACCAAAATATTATGTTAAGACAGTAAATTAATCTTCCAGCCACAAAAATATGATTATCATATGCATTTGCAAAGTTCCATTTTGCTCCAAATCTTAGTCCAAATCCAATGAAGAAAGAAATTATGGCAATTGTGTCACTGATATTGAAGTAATCACTAAACCATACTTTAATCTTCTGGTTTATTTTCCCAGCTTCAGACATAAAGATCTACAGGTTTAAAAACAAAACAAAAAAAAAGTTTAACCAATTTATTCCTATTAAAACACATACAGCATTCAATTATAACATTACAGCAGAACTTTACACAGCTTTTAATTATTTATTTATTTTGAGACAGAGTCTGGCTCTGTTGCCCAGGGTGGAGTGCAGTGGCACAATCTTGGCTCATTGCAACCTCCATCTCTCAGGTTCAAGAGATTCATCCAAATAAGAAGCTGAAAATCTAGATTACAACACAGTTCTCTAGACCTGGATTGTAAAACACTTTTGAAAAATTGTTTTATTTCAAATTAAAACAGCACATGGATATCTTGGTAGTGGCTGCCAAACATGCCTTCTTTGCAGAAAGTAAATAACTCAATGGTTTAAGTAGCTGTACTTATCTAACTTATTTAAAACATGTACCTCTTCTCCTAAATATACGATTTTAAGAATTATCTTTTGGGAGAAACAGTAACATGTTTACATCTTCAAAATTCATTGTATATCACAGGTACTACGAAGTCTCGATTTCACTCTTCTGCTTTAAGCCAATTAATTATTCTTCCTACTAGAGGCAACCACTATTATTATTGTCGCAACAACACTTGCAGAAATATTTCATGAATATACATATTTTAAAATGCTTTCCAATTTGCTTTTACCATTTAACAAGTGAATTTCTTCAAACATGCTGATAAAACAACAGATTTAATAAACCTATGGACCATAACACTCAGAGGAATTTAAAATACAAAATAAGCTATTTAATAATAAATTCCTTCTGGTTTGAGTTGGTGTTTGGAAAAGAAATTCCTATGATAGCTAAGTGAGAGACAAGTACAATGCCTTCTAATTATTTTTGCAATTTCTTGTATTCTCTAAATGTTAAGGCAGAGACATGAAATAAATCAGAGGTACTTATGCAAGTACGCTATAACAATATTCATGTACCTACTACTTCAAAAACAAAGTATGAATATTTAAGAAAAAAATTTTCTTCAAAATCATATTACAAACCTTACTGAAAAATTTAAACTGAAAATGGAAAGACACAGGGATATACATCTAAATGATCATTCTGTGGCAATATAGTACATTTTAGTAGGCAGTACAATATAAAAGCAAAATAAAGACCTATTTGTTTTATTTGAGATAGTCTTGCTCCTTCACCCAGGCTGGAGTGCAGTGGCATAATCTCGGTTCACTGCAACCTCCACCTCCGGGGTTCAAACAATTCTCCTGCCTCAATCTCCTAAGTAGCTGGGATTACAGGCACCTGTTACCATGCCCAGCTAATTTTTGTATTTTTAGTAGAGATGGAGTTTCACCCTGTTGGCCAGACTGGTCTCGAATTCCTGACCAAGAGTGATCTGTCTGCCTCAGCCTCCCAAACTACTGGGATTACAGGTGTGACCCACTGAGTCTGACCTAAAGACCTATTTATAATTTACCTACCTGATTGGTTAAATTAGGTAGGTAAATTAAAAATCGTTTAATTGAATATACTTAATACTTTTGAAGAGTGATAGAGAACAAAAATGTGAATGTTCAGGAAACAAAACAAAAATATAAGCTACATTTTTATAGGCTACATTTCTGACACAAATCATTTTATTTATAATGGCAACAAAGTATACAGCATACACACATCTCTATTCTTCATCATTATTTTGGGAACAGCAAAATTACTCAGGTTCTACACTTCTACAATGTCATCATACACACACATACCCATATATACATCCAAAACAAACAAAACCAGAAATTCCTCCATGTATATGGTAAATTATTGGTAGAAAAAATTAAAGACATACCTCACGGACTTTCTCAATGGCATAAGTAAAAATATAAGCAATAACAATCCATTCTTGAACTGAAGGTAATTGTTCCATTTGTACAAGAACCACAAAGGTATAAAGCATCAGAAATCCTAAATATGCCAACTAATAAAAAATTAAAGGTTATATAAACATTGGTTACAAAATAAATCTTTTAATTATGAACATTTTCAAGCAAACACAAAAATAGACATTAAATAAATCTTTATGAATTATGCCCTAGTTTCCCTTATTTTAAAACAGTTTTAGAGATACCTCTCTTCTTCAGCAGAGACATTGCATTTACTGGAGTATAAATGGTCCCCAGCATATAAACCTGTTGTTCCACAACTCTGTCAACCTTTAATGTCCCATAGAAGGGATTTTATAATCAGATTTATGTTCTCAGCACAGGCCACACAATTCTATTTAACTCATACCTACAGTATCATAATATATTAAAATTACTGCAGAATTTCACCACCATAATCATTAAGGAACACATACTTCCTACTTCCTTCCTCTCCCAACCAAACAGTATTCCTAAGAAAGACAACTGGGGCAGGGCACAGTGGCTCATGCCTGTAATTCCAGAACTTTGGGAGGCCAAGGCAGGCAGATCACCTGAGTTCAGGGGATCGAGACCAGCCTAGCCAACAGGGCGAAACCCTGTCTCTACTGACAAAAAACAAAAAAGCAAAAATTAGCCAGGCGTGGTGATGCACACCTGTAATCCCAGCTACTTGGGCGGCTGAGGCATGAGAACCGTTTGAACCTGGGAGGTGGAGGTTGCAGTGAGCTGAGATCATGCCATTGCACTCTAGCCTGGGTTAACAGAGCAAGATTGTGTTGCAAAAAAAGGTCAGGGGAGAGGAGTGGGGAAGGACAGGAGGGGAAGGGTGAGGGGAAGGGAGTGGACAGAGCAGGGCAGGGCATGGCAGGGCAGGGAGGGACAAAAGACAACTGGTATTTTCTTAGCTCCCAGTCAGTAAAGTTGAAACCCAAAAAGTGGAAAAGATGTGAAGAAGCCTTCCCCAGGTAAAGGAAGAGCCCACCTTTAATACTCTTTACAAAACAGGTTATAGAGACGTGATAAAGTTTATGTATAGAAACATATTTATTTAATTTCAGAGGAAAATCCACACTTATTGACCCTTGAAAAATCATGGCTAAGAATCCTCTTATCTGTCTTGTCTCTACCACTCCTAGAGTAAGTGACATCCTTGATTTGATTACCTATGGCAGGCTAGAGAACTAAACTACAATAAAGAAAGAACAGAGAAATTCCTGTAGTTACCCACATTGGCTATTTTAATGTAGCCATTCACATGAATGCAAATGTAAGAAAACTGCCCTAGTTTCATTAGCGGGGACAGAATCTGGAGATTAGATCAGATAACTCATATCTGCAATTTTAGCCTCTGAATAGAAAGGAATAAGAAGAACATTTTCATATAGAGAAGTAAGGAAAAGTTAGTCTCAGGTTAATGATCACGTGTGTGGGTGAAAAAGCAATTGCCAAAGAAACAAATTCTTATTCATGAAAATGAAAAAAACTCCCCAACAACAACAAAGTTAAAAACATCTTAATTAAGGGTTTTCCTAAGAAGAGGAGTTAAGAACTCATTTACTCAGCCCCTGGTTAAAAGTAGGGGCTAATCTCATTTACTGCATCACCTGTTCCTTCAGGGTTGGTCCATGTAGGGAGAGTGGCACCAGCAAGATAGCCAACTATCTTTCCTAGTGCTCACTGTCCACCACACAAAACAACCAAAACAACGTATAAACACCTATATTTCAACTAAAATAATAGGTGAGGCCATCATTCTATGGACGTATGCTCTTTAATATGCTAGTAAAATCAATTTTTCCATAAAGCAATCATATGGCAGGTAATCAAGCATACACTTTAATATAATTAAAGAAATAAGCCACAGATAAAACCATACAAATGATCTGGATTACTTTTTATCATCATCAACCCTGTAAACAGGTTTATTTCTAAACTTTTATGTATTACCTGCAAAATCTTAAAGCACAAAAAATTATAAGTGTGTATCAGAATCTCTTTTGGTCCATCTTTTACCATTATTTTTAGTAGATGATTAGTATTTGCTACCAACTTACAAAGGCCAATGGTTATCATCTATTTGTTAAGTACATTTTTAGTTCCAATTAGAACTAAAATTTGTTAGTGTTTATCACTCTAGATGTTGACAATGTAAATTAAACTAAAGCAAACATATCACTCTTTTAAATGTGAAATGCCTTTTCAGTGATCTAAGTTATATCAAGATTAGTATGGATTCAGAACCAAAGGTCCCTCAAAGTCTATCTCTTAAAAACATTATGCTTATGTAATTTAAAAACATACCGTGTTAAACCAGAATTTTACAATTGGTGCATGATAAAAGGCATAAAACTTTCGTGTGATTGGAAGCTTTTTTGATTTTACTTGTATCTCCATTTCATTCTTTCCTTCATTACTATCCAAAATCCTTACTTCTTTAAATACTTCCTAAAATTAAAAAAAAAATTTATTGTACAATTAATTATTCAGAACAAACTTATATTTACTTTAAAATGTTTTCCTGCTTACCATGGGGATCTCTTCTGTTATGTTCTTAAAGTTGTTTTCGCTGTCATCCATTGTCATCTGATGAGCATCTTGAGATTGTGGAATATGGGACATTTCAGCCTTAGTTTTATACTCTAGCAGTAATATGGCAGGTGGAACTAAAATGCTTAGTATGACCTAAAATTTTTAGAAACATAATTTTGCATTTTAAAATTAATGGCCTTCAATAATAAAAACAAAGATATTAAATATCTTATATTATTAGCCATTTTGCCCCAGTAGTGGAGGGAAAAAAACAGAAAATTCATGTCCAAGTTGAACTGTTAACAAAACATTTGATTATTATTATAATAAGGGTATAGGATAGATTTAATAATTATTATAGACTTGTCCTTTACATAAAATCAGATTACAATTTGTTCAGAAAACACATTTTGTTTAAACAAAATTCAAGCCTTATAAAGGTGCTATGTGCTTAACTTTATCCTAAATCTCTTTTCAAGTGTTCCGTATCATAACATGATTACTCAGCTCATACCTCTACAGACAAAAAGGTTTAATTCTAAAATTTTACTTATTACTTGCAAAATCCCAAAGCATGAAGAAATCTAATTGTGTAACAGAGATTCTGTTGGTTATTCAATAGCCTATGGTTAAATTATTTGCCTGATTTCTGCCTCCTACATTTCTGCAACTTATTTTAAAAGATAGAAGAGAACAAAAAGCAAAATCTAAAGCAGTATCTATCACCATAACAAAACTCAAAGCACATGCCATTTTACTCAAGTTTTTAATCATAAAAACTGGGCACATGGATATGCTTATCTACAAGTATAAACTGAGTATACGAATATACTCACTCAATATACTTTAACTTAAAAGTAACAGACTATTAAGTTATTAGATAGGTCTGGAATTTCCAAATTTGGGAATAATCCTTTCATAAAGCAGTAACTTTTTTTCATGGCTGCTCAGGGCCATAATCTCCAATATTTCCCATTTGTTGCCCTTCTAGCTCAAACAGAGGCCATAATCATTATACACACCTGAAAAGGATTCAAGAGTAAAGAAGAGGAGGAAGAAAGAAGCCCATTATGCTACCTGGGATGAAATGCCAATCACCCTTCTCCCCCTCACTGCCCATACTCCCCACCATTACCACCACACATCAAGACATTTTACAATATATTTAGACAAATTCCTCTGTTCTTTTTATCTAATCACACACTTAACATCAAATTATTTCTAAAGTATACCTTGTACCAGGAATTTTTCCTCATATTCAGCCTTCCCATCCACATATCAGATAACAACATTTGTGTACAGGTGTGGGCTACAAAAGGTCTAAGTCTTGAAGAAACTGCCAGCTTAAGGCAGGTTGAATTACTCCAGTTCTTCAGTTCATAAGTGAGCAATTTCATAGCCATGGTTTCATCTTGTCTGAAGGACTGTTCTAATAATTCAACAGCCAATTGACCAAAATCACTATAAAAAGATAAAAATCAAAATATACTGATTAACAAACTATAATTTTAAACCACTATTCTTACATACATTAATAATACTCTCTACTTTTTAATAGTCTCTCACACACTTACAGAATTATGAGGCATTAAAACCATGACTCTATGTTTTCAGACATCTACATCTATGTGGAAATCACAAAATATTAAAATATGTCGCATTATGTACAAGACTGAAAATGTGAATCCAGAGCACGTTCTCCCGGTCCTAGAAATCAAACTATAATCTCAAAGAGAATCAAAACTCACAATGCTACAATGCACTATTCAAAAAAGTTTATGCAGTATTTCAAACAGAGAAAATAGTTGGTACCTGGAAGAGAGAAGGAACAATGTGACTAGGGACTAACTTAATTACGAGAAACATCCCAGTTTTGAAGTCCAACTAAGTAACCATAGGATCCCTGCTAGATTTATTTTCAATAACAATTGTCACTGTCCTCTAAAGATGCCACTTGGGCAGACGGAGGTGTTAGTATCTATTAGAAAGCTTCTACAAACTACTTTTCCAGTTTATATTCCAATACTGCCCCCTAAGTAAATTGCAAATTTTTATGAACTATGTCACTATTCTATGTATGTAGTTCTAGCTGCTCAAGTGCCCTCCCAGGTGAATTCAATCTATTTTCTTAAAACAGCTCTAACCTCACTTCTGCCCCTTCTTTACCAATTCAAATGGAACTTTTCCCAATATAATTGCTACTATTTGCAAAAATTAAAATTACTTCTGGCATTTCTTCTTTCTTTCTTTTGAGACTGGGTTTCACTCTGTCACCCAGGCTGGAGTGCAGTGGCATGATCACAGCTCACTGCAGCCTCAACCTCCTGAGCAGCTGGGACCACAGGCAAGCGCCACCATACCCAGCTAATTTTTAAATTTCATGTAGAGACAGGGTCTCCCTATGTTGCCCAGGATGCACTTCTTTCTTGCTGAAATATTTAACTCTGGAGTTGCAAACAATATAATAATAGCCTCTTTTTCATACACAGAGGCAGAAAGTTTATTTCTCAATTAAACAAATAATATGCTTAAAAAATAATTTTCTGGTTGAGTGCGGTGGCTCATGCCTATAATTCTAGCACTTTGGGAGGCCGAGGTGGATGAATCATGAGGTTAGGAGTTCGAGACCAGCCTGACCAACAGGGTGAAACCCCATCTCTACTAAAAATACAAAAATTAGCTGGGCATGGTGGCACGTGCCTGTAATCCCAGCTACTCAGGATGAGGCAGGAGAATCACTTGAACCTAGGAGGTGGAAGTTACAGTGAGCCGAGATCACGCCATTGAACTCTACTCTGGGTAACAGAGTGAGACTTAGTAACAGAAGAAAAAAAATTTTTCTGTCAATTATACCAATAAGATTATACACATAAATACATCACCATTAAGTATGTGGCACTGTAACAGCCACTCAAACAATATCTACTTTGAATTTTTTAAATGTTTTAAAATTATAAAATATCACTTACTTGGAATACTGTTTCAGTTCTTCTGAAGTATCATCTACCAGGTCACTCTGCTTTGCTTCATATGCCATTGAACGATAGATCTTACAGGCAACTAATGCTTTAGCCATTGATTCTTCACCATGTTGCCATAAAAAACGGGCCATGACCTGCCTCTTCATAAGGCAAGCCCAAATTAAAAGTTCATTAAGTGGATAAGGAAAGCGCTTGGTTTCAGGATCATCAATGTCTACAATTTCATCTTTGGTTCTTTTCTTCTTTCCTTCTTCCAAAACTGTATCAATCTTGTAGGGAAAATAAAGTTATAAAGCTCATTATATAATAAGGCCAAATAAAATTATGTCAGTGAAAATTTTAATAAAATACCCTTTACCTTATTCAGATCCATAAAACTGCACATAATAGCATAAATTTTATAAACCAGATTTTTATTATAGCTCATAATTCATTTTATAAAACTCTACTTCAACAAAAATGTCTTTGCAATGAATATTTTCCAAAATTTAAGTGCCTAAACATTTCAACTAATATTCTAACAGAACATAATTTTAATAAAAGGTTAAATAACATTTTTGTCGTGCATGTTCTTAATCATGTAAAACTGAATGAAAGGAGTCAGGTAAACCTTTATTAAAACATTTTAATTTGGTTATATCATAGCTAAATATGAGAATGTAGCTGAATCATTAACTTAAAATGAATACCTCTGTATATGAGAAAATTACAATTCCAAGACATATCCAAAAATGAAAGATAATTCTTACTAAATCAATTAGTTTTTTTTGTTTAATACTAAGTAATTTAGAAAGAAGAAAATAAAAATCCAGAAAGAATAATATTTCAATAAATTTACCTTTGGTCGATAGGGCTGTGCCGTCTTAATGAAATGATTATGCCTCATTTTTTCCTTTTTATCTGCCCTATTGCCAAAAGATTCATGATTCTTTCGCAACTGAGGAGTGCTGCTGGAGGTATTTCGGCCAGACCTCTGGAAAATGAGATCTTATTAGCTTTAATAGATTTAAACATGCTGACATGTTACAAATATTCAAGAATCAATTTATATATATGTGGAAATGTGTTTTGAGTATGCACACAAAATATGACTGGTTTAGGATTTTGATGACAAAATATTTCTAATTACTCTATGTTAATTCATAACATTTAAAGTGCATGCATTAATGTTAAAGCACATATATAGATTCCCCCCAAATTTTACATACCCGATTATTTCCACCAAGACTATTATATATTAATCGAAAACGTTTTTTAGTGTAGGTGCATCTGTAGGTTCCTCCCATGAGATATTCAATAACAAGTCCTATATCAATTAGAGTGATCTTATATCCTGGAGGAAGATTTCCCTAGAAACAAAACATTTGTTTTAAATAGATCAAATAGTATTTCTCAATACTGCCATGCCCTGCCTAGGAATGGCCTACTTTCCAAAATGACAAATGTTTACTTCTTAAAAGCAGCAAGGGTTGGGTGCAGTGACTCACGCCTGTAATCCCAGCACTTTGGGAGGCCAAGGTGAGTGGATCTCCTGAGGTCAGGAGCTCGAGATCAGTCTGACCAACATGGTGAAACCCATCTCTATTAAAAACACAAAAAATTTAGCTAGGTGTGGTGGCATGTGCCTGTAGTTCCAGCTACGCAGAAGGCTGAGGTGTGAACCCGGGAGGTGGAAGTTGCAGTGAGCCGAGATTGTGACGCTGCACTCCAGCCTGGAAGACAGAGTGGGACTTGGTCTCAAAAAAAAAAAGAAAGAAGGGAGGGTTGCTAGCAGCTCTCTTTATAGGAGAAATAAATTCTTGTTTCTCTATTTCCTCTGTGAAAATATGGGATTCTGAAGTTCTCAGGTCTCAAAGGTGTGCCTTGAGACAGGAGCATGACCTAAAGCAGGAAGATAGTATCATCTCTCCATTGCCCCAATACTTCACACATAAGAGACAACTGAATTGCTAATCAGCCAACTATTCCATTTCACTGTGATATATATAAAACTAGCATTTTCCTACAAAAAAAAATGCTGTGTTTTGTTTCCAAACTTGCCCAGAAACACAAGTTTTTTTTTTTTTTTTTTTTTTTTTTTTTGAGACTGACCCTCGCTCTGTCAGCAGGCTGAAGTGCAGTGGCACAATCTCAGCTTACCGCGATGTCTGCCTCCCAGGTTCAAGCAATTCCCCTGCCTCACCCTCCTGAGTAGCTGGGACTACAGGTGTGCACCACCACAACTGGCTAATTTTTTTATTTTAGTAGAGACCTTGGCCAGGATGGTCTCGATCTCCTTACCTCGTGATCCGCCCACGTCGGCTTTCCAAAGTGCTGAGATTACACGCGTGAGCTGCGCCTGGCCTAATGTAAGTATTTTTCTTTAACCAAAATTATACTGGTGATATTACAGGTTTTTACAGCGTTGTCAAGGAATTAACTACCACTTGAAATGTTTAAAGGTAAGACTTCATTTTCCCCATGGCAATTTACAGATGTACTTTTGGAACATACATGATTAGTGAGTTTGGAAAGACTGCCTGTTTCAAAATTTAAAAACTGGTTATAATTTGTATTTATTAACTAATTCAGCCCTCTTACCATCACTACTTTATTTTCCTGATTATAATGTCAGGAACTTGATATTTTTCTTAAAAATGTCTGTATTTTTAATAACTTGGTTTTGCCAGGTGCAGTGCCTATGCCTGTAATCCTAACACTTTGGTAGGCTGAGGCGGGTGGATCACCTGAGGTCAGAAGTTTGAGACCAGCCTGGCCAACATGGTGAAACCCCGTCTCTACTAAAAATACAAAAATTAGCTGGGTGTGGTAGTGGGTGCCTGTAATCCCAGCTACTTGGGAGACTGAGGCAGAAGAATGGCTTGAACCCAGGAGGTGGAGGTTGCAGTGAGTCAAGATTGCATCACTGCACTCTAATATGGGCAACAAGAGTGAAAAAAAAAAAATCTTGGTTTTATCTGTGAAATTTCTAATTTCTAGATAGCTATATCCTTTGAATCTCTAATTTGAAAATAAACAAAAATACATCATTTCCATCTTGAATACAAGATTTTTGGTTTTAATTCAAGCAACCTCAAAATATGCTGTATGACTGAGAATGTCACCTATGATAGTCTTCATTATTTATTAAAAATAACAAATGCCATTATGGTATGAACCCATTTGAATAAGAAATCAGTAAAATAATGTGAATAATCTAACAAATGTCATGATGATCAAGTTCTCAAACTATACTGGTAAGTCATAAAAAAGTTATCAATTTGAATCAAAATATTCGACTACTGCCTTTATTTTAGGATTTAACACTTACAGAAATTAAAAAATAGGGCCTATTACAGCCACCAGTGTAACAACAATGTATGCAAACTCTCATACTTGTTTTCAAAATTTTAACTACCATAAATTCCTTCTTCTGGGGCACATAAGTAAATCATGGTTTAGAAACATGGTCTTTAGGTCTCCCCATTATTTAAGATTTCTAGAAGAAAGGGGGAACTTTGATTATTTTAAAAGACCGAATCAAATTGATATGAAATGCCCAAATAAGTAAATCATTAGATTAATAGTCGCCTACGGTGAGAGACAGAAGTGCAGAGTAGAGAATGAGAAGGAAGGAGGAGTGACTGCTAAAGGGTACAGGGTAACTTTTCGAAGTATTATAAATGCTCTGAAGTTAGACTGTGGCAATGGTTGAACAACTCTGTGAATACAGTAAAGTAAAAAAATGTATGTTTTTTTGGACACGGACTCTTGCTCTGTTGCTCAGGCTAGAGTGCAGTGATGCAATCTCAGCTCGCTGCAATCTCTGCTTCCCAGATTCAAGCAATTCTTCTGCCTCAGCCTCCTGAGAGAGTAGCTGGAACTACAGGCACGCATCACCGTGGATCTAGCTAAATTTTGTATTTTTAGTAGAGATTTGGTTTCATCACGTTGGCCAGGCTGGTCTCAAACTCCTGAACTCAACCACTGCATCCAGACAATATACACTTTAAATGAATGAATTTTGTAATTTGTGAAATACATTTCAATAAAGCTATAAAGAAAAGCACATGCAGGTCAGGGAGGATGGCTCACGCCTGTAATCCTAACACTTTGGGAGGCTGAGGTGGGTGGATCACCTGAGATCAGGGGTTCTAGATCAGACTGGCCAACATGGTGAAACCCCATCTCTACCCAAAAAAAAAAAAAAAAAAGTTAGCCAGGTGTAGTGGCATGCACCTATAGTCCCAGCTTCTTGTTGGGCTGAGACAGGAGAATTGCTTGGACCTGAGAGGTGGTGGTTGCAGTGAGCCAAGATCACGCCATTGCATTCCAGCCGGAGCAACAGGGCAAGATTTGTCCCCCAACCCCTCCACCCCCCAAAAAATCAGCCAGGCATGGGGGCAGGCACTTGCAATCCCAGCTACTTGGGAGGCTGAGGCAGGAGAATCGCTAGAACCTGGGAGGTAGAGGTTGCAGTGAGCCGAGATCACACCACTGTATTCCAGCCTGGGCAAGAAAGAGTGAAACTCCATTAAAAAAAAATTTTTTTAAGTATAAAATGTCTCAGTTCTTCCTGTGGGATACTAGTTTGGTATTAAATCAGTTACAAAATAAAGAAAATGACATTTTTAAAAAACATCCTCAAGGTTGTTAAATATGACATTTCTAATGTCATTCTTTTAAGACAGGGTCTCGATGGGTACCCAGAATGGGGTACAGTGGTTCAGTCGTGGCTCACTGCAGCCTCAACTCACGGGCTCAAGTGATCTTCCCTCAGTGCTCCCCTTCATACCCCCAACCAACCATTTTGGGACTACAGGCATGTGACAACATGCTAGGCTAATTTTTACATTTTTTGTAGAGCCAAGGTCTCACTTTGTTCCCTAGGCTGGTCTCAAACTCCTTCCCTTGGGCAATCCTCCCACCTCAGTCAACCAAAGTGCTGGTATTATAGGGTTAAGCCATCAGGCCTGGCCTTCTATGTGTTTAATAGTACACTCATATTTAGTAGCAAGTAAAAGCTGAAATAAAGAATTCTAAACAAAATTTAAGTTTAGAAACTAAGAAGATATTTTAACCAAATAAATAAAAATACTATTTATCAAGGAAAACAAAACTGTATCCAATATCAGTGATATAAATGGCTATAAAAGTGGTTATAAATGTGTAAAACTTTCAGTTCACAAACAATCCTGATAGGAGAGAAGAGGAATAAGAATAAATTAATCTAGTAGTCACACAATAGCTTGAGATCATGACAGTGCTATGCATTCATCACTAGCAACACTAGAATTTTTTTTCCTTTTTAAAAACTTTAAAATAATTTATATATATTTAGAGGGTACAAGTACAGATTTATTACATGTCTATGTTATGCAGTGGTGAAAACTAGGCTTTTAGTGTACCTATTAGCTGAAGAGCGAATAGTGTACCCATAGGTAATTGTTCAACCACCACCTCCCTACCCACCCTCCCACCTTTGTACTCTCCAATGTCTATCATTCCACTTTGTGTCCATAGGTACCCATTGTTTAGCTCCCACTTCTAAGTGAACATGTGCTATTTCACTAAGTTGTTTCACTTAGGATAATGAACCTCCAGTTCCATTCATGTTGCCACAAAGGACATGATTCCATTCTTTTGTATGGCTGGATAGAAATACTAGATTTTTTTTTTAAAGGGGGAGAGAACTTTACAGCATTTTTACTGGCAAAGTCTGCCATTAAGATCATGACCCAGTCCTCAATTTCGTTATTCAACATCCTTCACATTGGGACAATTTTCTAAGGAACAAATTTCTGTTCAAGATAGAGGAAAAAAGACACATTTATCAATGGTCTTTCTTTTATGGACCAATGAACTTTATACATCACATTCTATCTATCCTTGATGATCAGAAGCTCAGCGGTTTTTTGTTTTTGTTTTTTTGACAGAGTCTCACTCTTGTCACCCAGGCTGGAATGCAGTGGCATGGTCATGGCTCATGGCAGCCTCCCCCTCCTGCCCTCAAGCAATCCCCCTACATCAGCCTCCCGAGCAGCTGGTATTATAGGCATGCACCACCATGTCCAGCTAATTTTTTCACTTTTTGTAGAGAAGGGATTTCACCATGCTGCCCAGGCTGGTCTCGAACTCCTGTACTCAAGCAATCCATCTGACTGAACCTGCTGAAATGCTGGGATTACAGGTTTGACCCACTCATCCCTGGTCCTAGTCTTCATAAAATATCATAAACTCTCTCTTTTCTTGTTTACTGTTACATTATGCTCTGTATTACTCCTCTCTTCCCACATATTTAGCCCATATTTAACTTGTTCTGCAAACTGTCATTTTATTGGTGTTTCTAAAATGGATTTAAATGTTATTTTTTTAAAAAAGATGAAGTATAAGTGATTTCGTAAAATAACATTCTAATTACTGTATTAAAAATAACATTTTTCAAAAACAAAAAATGATTTCTCACCTGTTTGACGTCTCGAACAAGATGAAATAGCATTGGATTAGTTGGACCTTGTTTCTTTAGAGAGAAAAAAGTTACAGCAAACTATTATTTTTCTTCTAAAATAATTTAAACCTTACAGGATTTTTATGAACGTTCTTATATAAATTATACTGTTTTGGAGTTATTTCCTAAAACAAAGAATTGTCACATTTACTGCCAAAAAACAAAGAATCTTAGAGCATCACTAGTGATACATGAGTTTTTGTTTTACAAAAGTCATGTAAACACTACAAGCTTAACAATTCTATCTTAAATTTAAATTTACATTTCTTTAATAATGGAGCTGTACAATACCTTTCTTCTTGTTAAAATGTCTGTTCCTCTGTTTCTGTCACTAATAAAGTTGTATCCAGACTTTAAATATTTTGGGTAACAAGCCTTTAACACAAGCTTGTCCAACCTGCAGCCCATGGGTTGCATGGAGCCCAAGACGGCTTTGAATGTGGCCCAACACAAATTTGTAAACTTTCTTAAAACACTGAGTTTTTTGCAATTTTTTTAAACCTCATCAACTATTGTTAGTGTTAGCATATTTTATGTGTGACCCAAGACAATTCTTCTTCTTCCAGTGTGGTCCAGGAAAGCCAAAAGATTAGAAATCCCTGATTTAACATTTATATATGCCATAATTTCACCATTATCTTACATCACTTCATGTATACTGTTAGAGTATATCTTAGAGTATCACTAAGACTGATCACACAGACTAATCTCAAGTTCTATCTTTCCAGTAATCTCTAGTAATTTTGAAAAAAGAGCCAAATATTATCTCTTCCACCAAGACGGAAGTAAATATCCCAAAGACTTTAGGTAGTCCTTTGACCCATCTGAAATTTAATGCAATGAATTCCAAGTGACACAAATCAAGAGACTTCTTCTCAATACTTTTAATCCTATTTAAAAGAATTATCAAATGGCATTTAATGCCACCCTTGTATTAATTTTTTATATGAGACATTATTACAGTAATAAATTCAATCTACTTTTCTATTTTAATCAAATTTATTTTGTAAAATGTTTTCAAATTAAACTGGGTACACCTACTACTATTTCTTTGGCGAAGAAGTTATTTTCTTTGTCATTCTTGGCTTTCAAATTCTATATAAGATCTAAGATGACCATAATTGATATTGCATATGAATTATATTTTACTTTACTTTGTTCTGTCTTTTTACTATATTTAGTCTATCCACTCAGGGGCTAAGTTCTCTCTACCAATTCTTTCCCATAGGTTAACTTTTTAAAATAAATGTTTCTTCTAAGTTAATAAGAAGTATCTCATATTTTAGGGGTATTGAGAAATTTCATTGTATTTTTCTCTAATGGTATATAATCACATGAAAATGCACTTAGAATTTTTAAAATTCGATTTTATCTTACTCTATTAAATGTTTATCCATTAAAAATAAATTGTTAGTAAATAATAAAAGTACTTTAACACAGCAATTCTCGAAGTGTGACCTGGGGACATCTGAGGTCCCCATGATCCCTTCAGGAGTTCCATGAGATCAAGAATTTTTTCCTAATCATATTAAAATTGTATTTGTATTGACTCATTCTCATTCTCTCAGTGTTTGGTGGAGTTTTTGGCTTTCTGATGTGTGATATTGTGAGATTACATTCAGAAGCAAATAAGAGAATTCAGCTGATAAGGCTAGATTTTAAAGACATTTGCAAAAATGTTTTCCTCTCCTCACCAATTTTTATTTTTTCTTTAAAAATAAAAGCATATCAGCCAGAACAGTGGCTTACACCTGTAATCCTAGCACTTTGGAAGGCCAAGGCGGGCGATCATCTGAGATCAGGAGTTCGAGACCAGCCTGACCAACATGGAGAAACCCCATCTCTACTAAAAATACAAAATTAACAGGGCATGGTGGTGCATGCCTGTAATCCCAGCTACTTGGGAGACTGAGGCAGGAGAATCACTTGAACCTAGGAGGTGGTGGCTGTGGTGAGCTGAGATTTCACCACTGCACTCCAGCCTGGGCAACAAGAGTGAAACTGTCTCAAAAAACAAACAAAAACAAGAAGTTGATCCTATAGTTTTAAAAAGGGGTGAGGGGAGCAAAAGGGAGTTAGGGCTATTAAGCCTACCTTTCCTTCCTATGTGGATATGGTGACAGGGAAGGGTTCTAAAAACAAGGAAAGGGTTTCAGACTGGAATACAACTAATCCACACTAAGACTGGCTATGTTTTTTTCATATAACCAAGGAAGACATTAAAGGTTTTATCAGTAGGAATGGCTATATTTAGGTAAAGTAACATTTCCTCAAAGAGATAGTCAATAAAGAATTTTAATGTAGACTTACAGTGTTGTAAAGTTCTTCCAGTCTCGGAATGGTAAGGAATTTATGCATGCTTACTCCATTTTCAATAAGAAGTTTTACAAATGCAACTCTATCCATTACAAGAGCATCAAGCATAGCTTGTTCCAAGGATCCAACCTAGGAGTATCAAATTTAATAAATATATATTTCACACATTCTAATTATACAAACACTTCTAAATGTTAAGTCCTTAGGATTTATACTTAATTTGTTCCCAACAGTTTTAGAACAAAATTAGAAAGATGAAATATAGTAAAAAGCTAATAAGACTTAAGGTATTTAGGGAATAGATAAGAAGACCTCTCTAGAACAAGTTTCTTAAAGAATATTCCACAAACGCTATTTCTGTAGAAGAACAAGGGTTACATGAGGGGAAAAACAGAATCCATCATCAATTAAATCTCAGGAAAGAATACCTTAGAGCAATGGCTCTCAGTGTTTAGGGAAGGTTTTGTGGGAAGGATAGTTTCCATAACTGAGTGCTGTTATTAATATTTAATGGGTAGGGTCAAAGGACGTCAGAAATCATGCAATATACTGGACAATTCTACTCAGAAAGAAACCATCCCACATCCCACACAACTTTTTATTATCCTGTTAGATGTTTATGAGTGAAAAACCAGTAATTCTGCCTCACAAATGAACACAAAGTATTTCATCATGGTTTTTGTTCTACAATGAATTTTGCAAAAACACAACCACCAGAAAAATCAGCAAGACTGTACTTGGTTTTCCTCAGAACATTAAAAGAAATTATTCATCATTAGAGAAAAAAAATCATTTGAGAGCAATACAACCTATGTCATTTGTGCTTAATATAACACATCTGTATCATTCAGCATTTGTAGCAATCCTTAATATATTAAAGCCTATTTTACAGACTTCCAAATCAAATACTGGTAAATTAGTAGAAACATGAAATGTAGGTATTTCATTGAGTATTATTAATAAAGGCTGTTTTAATACAGTCTGTATATTTTTAATATTTTTGTGGCAAAATCAATAAAAAACCACTGGTTTTTTACCCATTATTTTTTATTTTATTCTGATTCTATCTTCAGAGGTTCAACACACAACTACACAACTTCTCTAGAGCAACTTGTATTACCATTTATTTTTCCAATCTATCTTCAACTTCCATTACCTAGCAAGGATATAGTCTTCATGATATTTTAAGTATATACTTTTGTTTTTTGAGACAGGGTCTCATTCTGTCACCCAGTGGCATGATCATAGCTCACTGCAGCCTCAAACTCAGGGTTTAAAGAGACCTTCCCACCTCAGTCTCCCATGTAGCTAGAACTACAGGTGTCCACTCCTGTATCTGCCTTTTTTAAAAAAAAAATAGAGACAGGTCTAAAACTCCTGGCCTCAAGTGATCCCAATACTTCAGCCTCCCCAGTACTGGGATTAGAGGTGTGAGCCATCACACCCAGGTATTTTTAAAGTATATACTGATGAAATGTATGCCTTTTACATGATAGAATTTAAAGATGGAAAGTATGTTTTCTGTGGAAAGTATGTTTTCATTTTTCACTGCTCAGTTCTGTCACAACAAAGAAAATATTTTTACATGCTTAAAAATGAGGCCTGATTTCCTAGAAAACAATACTTTTTAGTTTTCTCTACATTAAGAGACTGTAGTTTATCATGGCATGTTACTACTATTTTACTTAAGGTTAGTTCCTTCTTTCGCTTATCACATACAAATAATCCTGATGTTATTACTTATTCTAACATTAATATTCTAACATTATTCCAGTGCCCATTTGATCTTCTCTCTGTTCTTTCTTTGTCCTATACTCGTAAAGGGTGTTTATCTGTTCCCCAGAATATTTAAGTTACCAACAACATACTTGTATTAGCATGCATAACTGCAGCATTTACACTGATTCTTGTTATAACTGCTGGCATCTGACTTACCATGTGTTTTATACTGCCACTCTTGAACATTTATGTACTATTTTTTATTATAAATCATTTTTTCTGTCTTATTACAGTTAGAGCATTATACATATATTCTTAATTTATTACTTATGAAATTTCACTTTAGTAGACTAAAAGGGGATATAACAAAATTAATGTTTTTAAAACAAGAACATTCTTTGTTTATAACCACTGCCCTAGAACAAAAACTAAATTTTCATATCAGAGGAGAAAAAGGAGGCCATTTAAAAAAATGTGTCTGCTTTGTAAGCAGCATTTCCTCAATGCATACTGAACTGCTGGCAAGCAAGAAGAAAAGAAAACAACTGTCCTCCAAATTCTAAGTTTAGCAAGAAACACAAAATCAAATACATAACATTATGCAGAAGAAATCCATCAGACAAACCACATATACACAGAAAATAAATGCTTCATCCAAGCCTTTATATCTGAGGAGAACAAAATCCAGTTATATTATTCAAGGGAAAAATAAGGTTGGTTATAGTCATCACCACAGATGATTAACATTAATTTTTTTTCCTCTGTAGTCCTGCAAGAGGAGAAGGGACTAAATAAACTGTTTTTTATTATACAGGAAATACATTCCCATGGTTTAAAAAAAAAAAAAAAAAACACTACAAAATGGTATAAAATAAAACTTTCTCTCCTTCAGCTCCCATCTCTCCAAGATGAATCCCATGTTAAGTTTTAGAAAGGTACTATGACTACACAGTAGATGTAGATATGCATTGTTTGTACATTTATAAGAATAATTTGCCACAAAGAAGATCATACTGTGCATACTTTTCTGCAATTTGCTGTTTATATTTACTACGTGGACAAAAAAGATCTAGTTCATCCTCCATAAAGGCTGATAATACTTCAAGGTACAGATGAACATTTAATCTGCCCAGGCTCCTAATGATTCAGACATGTAACAAAACTTTAAGTGATCTACTACATACCAAGCTGTTAATACAGCAGTAAACAAATTGAAAAATATTCTTGCCCTCATAAAGTTTACTTTCTTGGAGAAAGACAAACAATAAATAACAGCTACATTATATGGTTTGTCAGATGGTGACAAAAGGTAGAGAGGAAAAAATAGCAGGGAAGAATGCTGGTATAGCGGGATGCTATTAAAATAGGGTGGACAGAGAAAGTCCAAAGAGGCAACATTTGGTTAGAGGCCAGAAAGACATGAGGAATTAAGCCCAAGTGGATATCTAGGGAAGAATGTTACAGATAGAGAGACCAGCAAGTACAAAGCCTAGAGATAGGAGCATGCTTGGTATGTTCACAGAACTGTAAGAACACTAACAAGGTTAGTAAAAAAGAGCAAACGGGATAGTGGTAGCATGTAAGGCTCTGGATTATGCTCTCAGTAAATGAAATGTGATTCATCTCCTGTCAGTAAAAGGAGAGCAAGTATGAGAGTAGTGAAACCAAAAAGGATGCTACTATTTCAGTAAAAGAAAAAACACAAAAGAATGATCATAGAACTAGACCAGGATGATAAAATTAGGTACTTTGAAAGTAGATCTGACAAGATTTACAGATGGAATTGGATTGGAATACATGAGAAAGAGAAAAGTAAAGGATAACACTAAAGTCTCTCATCTTAGAAACTAGGAAGAAGTTGCTCCCATTTAGTAGGATGAAGAAGACTACAAAAGAAATAGGTCTAAACATCAGGGGGAATGCTAAAATGGATTCTCTTGTACACAGAGCATGAGTTCTAAAGCTTCTTTCAGTTCTAAGTTTCTTAGAGATCTATATACTTTATTAAAAAATAAGGTTTACTCTAGAGGTATATGTTAAATCCTAAACTGGATTAGAATAGTGTAGAAATACTTAGCTAAACTGTTTTTGAACTGTTGGCAGAAAAGTAAAATGTCAACTCAGGTCACAGTTCCCGCAAATACTTTTTTATTACTTAGTGTAATTTAATCGTATTGTGTATGCAGATTATTTACATACCAGCCACTGCTGTCCATAAACAAATACATGATTTTTGGCAATGTCAACTCTATCCCATGCCAATGTAAGGATAAGCTGGTCAAATGCAGATGCATTAGTACCTAATCGAATAAAGAAAATAGTTGATAGGTTCATTAATTTATCTCCATTAAAAAGTGAACACTTTTTTTTTTAAAAAAAAGAGATGGGGTCTTGGTCTGTTGCTCAGGCTGAAGTGCAAAAGTGATCATGGCTCACTGCAGCCTTGAATTCCTGGGTTCAAGCATACCTCCCGCCTTAGCCTCCGCGAGCAGCTGACACTACAGAAGAGCACCACCACACCCGGCTAATTTTTTAACTTTTTGTAGAGACAGACTCTCACTCTGTGGACCAGGCTGGTCTCAAATTCCCAGCCTCAAGTGATCCTACCACTTTGGCCTCCCAATGTGCTGGGATTACAAGTGTGAGCCACAGTGCCCAGCCCAAACACTTCCGACATCTCCCCACCATTCTTTAATTAACTTACACAACTGGTTTCAGCAACCATTCAGAAGTAGCCTGCCTCAGAGAGTTAAGATTAGCCCCACGGTTAAGAACTTTACCTTTCCAACTATAAACGACATGTTCCCATTCATTGAAAACATTTAGAAATGCAAAAAAATGAGAAGAAAACAAAGATGAACTGTTTCTATCACAGAGATAGTGCTACTAGGATTCTGAAAATAGCCTGTCAGGTGCTTTTCTGTGCATATACAAACTCATACATATACTTTTCATTGTTCATTCAAAAATGGGTCCATACTACAAGTGTTCAGTAGTTTGCTTTATTTTCCTTATCACACCTTGATTCTTCTTAAAATTATATATAAATCCACCTTATATATACTAATAGATGAGCCAAAATTTATTTAACAAACACTTCAAATGGTATTCAGGTTATTTTGAATTTTTTGCTGAGTATGTTTTAGCACATATGCTTGATTATTCAAATAGGATGATTTTCTAGAAGCCAAATTGCTGAATACAAGAATGTATACTTTAAGGCTTTTGATATACTACAAAGTATTTCAGATCACTTCTACCATCCACCAGGGGAGGGGTATAAGTATACCCATTTCTCCAAGTGCCATGGAGAAGGGAGTTTCTTTCTTTTTATGAGACAAGGTTTCTCTCTGTTGTCCAGGCTGGAGTGCAGTGGCATGATCTTGGTTCACTGCAACCTCCGCCTCCAAGGCTCAACTGATCCTCCCACTTCAGTGTTTCAAGTAGCAGGAACCAAAGGTACATGGCACCACACCAGGGTAATTTCCATATTTTTTTGTAGAGACAGGATTTTGCCATGTTGCCCAGGCTGATCTCAACCTCCTGGGCTCAAGCGATCTGCTTGCCTCAGCCTCCCAAAATTTATTACTGTAACACTAACCATCCTTCCATATTTTCTCCATGCATTTGGATTCCTCTACTAATCATTTATTACATAAGTTCTGAGCCATTTTTCCACAAGGTAGTCACCTTTTTATTAATTTTTAACAGCTCTTTTTGATCCCTTCACTTTAACATTTCTATTTGTTTCCTCATCTATAAAATGAATAAAATCAGAGGAAATATGACTTGTAGAAATAGAGATAAATAATGTAAACCACTTAAACACAGTGGTTAATACACAGAAAAGTACATGGCAAATAATTAATGGATATGGTACGTTTTTTAAACTTTTTTTTTTTGAGACAGTTTCACTGTTGCCCAGGCTGTAGTGCAGCGGTGTGACGTTGGCTCACTGTAACCTCCATCTCCCAGGTTCAAGTGATTCTTGTGCCTCAGCCTCCTGAGTAGCTGGGACTACAGGCACCTGCCACTGACTCCTGGTAATTTTTGTATTATTAGTAGAGCCGAGGTTTCACCATGTTGGCCAGGCTAGTCTTCAACTCCTGACCATAAGTGATCTGCCCGCCTCAGCCTCCCAAATTGCTGGGATTACAGGTGTAAGCCAGCACACTCAGCCTTTGTTTTTATGCAATCCCATTTATAATTTTTTTTTTCCCTTTTTGGTTGCTGGGTTTCCTATCACTTGTGATCTCAATCCTAGATGATATAAATACATTTTATCACAGTATTTTAAAAATGCTTAATGCAGGCTGGGCGCGGTGGCTCAAGCCTGTAATCCCAGAACTTTGGGAGGCCGAGGCAGGCGGATCACGAGGTCAACAGATCGAGACCATCCTGGTCAACATGGTGAAACCCCGTCTCTACAAAAAATACAAAAAGAAAAATTAGCTGGGCATGGTGGCGCGTGCCTGTAATCCCAGCTACTCAGGAGGCTGAGGCAGGAGAATTGCCTGAACCCAGGAGGCGGACGTTGCAGTGAGCCGAGATCGCACCATTGCACTCCAGCCCGGGTAACAAGAGCGAAACTTTGTCTCAAAAAAAAAAAAAAAAAAAATGCTTGATGCATTGGCAATTTATTATGATCTAATATGCAAGAAATTCTTGTAAATAAAAAGACGGTATCCTTTTAATGTGCTGTGCTCCTGGCATACCACTCTACACTAACTTTCAAGTAGGCAGATGGAATACCATCATAGTTTCTAATTTCTGAAAAGATTTTTCACTATAATGTTGTTTTATCTGTTAGAGGTCTTTGGGGATATACTGAGAGAAAAACAGTTCAGTGTGTATGTGCTTCAATCCCTTAGTCCTAGAAGACACCACTAGTTTTCAAATTTTCCCTTCAGAATGAAGATAGCATGTTTTAAAATCCTATCTTTAAAAGCTATCAACTAATGCCTTATGACCTTTAAACACTAATTTTTCAGCTGATCGAGAATGTGACACATTTTTATTTTTTCTTAGAGACAAGGTCTTGCTGTCACCCAGGCTAGAATGCAGTGGTGTGATCATGGCTCACTGTAACCTCAAACTCTGGGCTCAAGCTATCTTCCTGCCTCAGCCTCCTGAGCAGCTGAGACTATAAAGTGCACAGCACCATGCACAGCTAATTTTTGTTTATTTTAAGATAGGGTCTTGCTCCGTTGCCCAGACTGGAGTATAGCGGCATTATTACGGCTCACTGTAGCCTCGACTTTCCAGGCTCAAGTGATTCCACCTTAGCCTCCCAATTTTTAAATTTTTTGTAGAGATGAGTCTATGTTGTCCAGCCTGGTCTCAAACTCCTGGCCTCAAGTGATCCTCCTGCCTTAGCCTCCCAAAGTGTTGGGATTACGGGTGTGAGCCACAGTGCCTGGCCCAGGATGTTACATATTCTTAATAAGACTATTTAATAGGTTTGGTGGCATAAACCTTGCTAAAAACTTTTCTTAAATTCTACAAGATTAAATCAAAAGCTATCTTACTGCCAAGGAAACCAACATTGTGTCTTTCACAAAGAAAAATGACTGAAAATTCACTTTGCAAGCACTTAGCCATATTAAAAGGTTCTATCTTCTGTATACATATAGACACACATACATACACACACATATACATATATAAAATAAAGATCTTACAAATAAAAAAGGTCTTAGAGGCTTACCTTTCAGCAGTGCAGTAAGTATTGCTACATCTATATCTTGATGTTCATCTGACCCAATATGGAAAACAGTGATCTATTTAAAGATAAATTCATAACATTATGTCTTTATATTTTTAAAGCAAAGGCATCATAAAACTCAGTAATTTCCAACTCTACGGGAGGCAAAATACATATGTATGTATCTAGAAATGTATGTATTATGTATACATAAATATACATACACATACGTATGACAGTTAGTAACTTTATTTCAACCAAAAAACCAAAAAATTTTTAAAGACTTTATCATTTACCAAATAAAATGGCAAGTATATAAAAATACTTGGTTTTATATTATATTCATATTTTGAAGTATCTCATGTCCCTTACTAGAGCAAACAATTTAGGGGATGAGGCTACAGATTCCTTATCAGAGTAAATAAATCCTACAGTTCCTTCCACAGAATGAAAATTTACATGTTCATATAATGTACGCATTCTTGAACGAGAAATGTTTTAGTCAATCTTTTTATAAATGTCTTTAAATTTATAATAAAAACAATTTTAATACAAATTAAAAACAAAAGTATTTCACCAACTTAGAATGTGCTTTGCAAGAAATAAAAAAGGCTTAGCTTTTTAAATTTCTGCTGAAATCTACTTACAAGCTCCTTTCTTTTCATGCACTCCATCAGTGTTTGAAATAAATGAACTGCTTCACTCTGACCAAAGTTAAATGTTTTTTTGATAGTGGAAATAATATCGGGCTCTGCTGCATCAGGAAGATTCCTAGAATAAAAAGAAACATAAATTAATCCACTGATTTCATCTTTCATTATTCATATGATCAATATGAAGTACAGGTAGATCCATGTAAGATCTTTGAAAATAATGTACTCATATTAAATACTTGACCTTGGGTGGGATTATTTTTTCCTTCATGAGACTACCAATATAAATCTTGAAAGGAAAATATATGAAGTCATTTTTCTCATTGAACTACTTTATGAATATTATCAAAAAGAATGTGTGGCAGTATCAGTACTCACATAAGACACTGTATAAAAGTAATTTTAAGATAATTATGATGTATAAAGTAGTATTTCACTATGATATTTTTAAACATAAGCACTCACATTTTTCTTTTTTGAATACTTAATATATTTACATGGCTCAAAACTATAGTAGAAAATATAAAATGTTAAAATATTAAAATTAATAGTGTTAAGTCTCCTTCGCACTATCTTTCAACTGCCCAGTTCTATCACAACTATTTTCAGGAATCATTTACTCATGTAACTTTCCAAAGTGTCTTTCTGCATACACAAAAAATTATCCCCTTTCCTTTTATTATATATAAAATGTGGTACAATATATATGCTTCTCTCTACCTTCCTTTTTCCATGTATATATTTTGGTAATCTTCTCATGTTGTACTTTGCTCCAATCTTTTACTCTTACAAAGAACCCAGTAATGAGTAGCTTTATACATACATTATTTCACAGATGTACATCTATAGGAACAATTCCCAGAAATGAAACTACTAGGTTAAAAGATAAGTGCCTCTATGTTTGACAGATCTTACAAAACTGTGTTCCATGAAGATAGTTTTAATTTGTTCCAGTAACATATGAGTCAGGCTATTTCCTCAATCCTTAACAAACTGTTTTATTAAAGTTGAAATTTTCATGTTCATAAAACACAGAGAGGAATCCAACTCTGTATTCTAAAACCCACAAGCCTCTTGAATAAAGTCATTAAAATGGGCCAGGCATGGTGGCTCACGCCTATAATCCCAGAACTTTGAAAGGCCAAAATGGGTGGATCACTTGAGGTCAGGAGTTCAAGACCAGCCTGGCCAACACAGTGAAACCCTATCTCTACCCAAAAAAAAAAAAAAAATACAAAAATTAGCCGGACGTGGTGGCTCATGCCTGTAATCCCAGCTACTCAGGGGGCTGAGGCAGGACAATCGCTTGAAACCAGGAGGCAGAGGTTGCAGTGAGCCAAGATTGCACTACTGCATTCCATCCAGGCTGGGACACAGAGCAAGAATCCATCTCAAAAAATAATAATAAAATAAATAAATTCATTAAAATGTTGTCATACACTTACCCTCCTTCTTCTGTTTGTTTATGAATATATGCTAGTAGATCTGCAGCTCTGCCTGTTCCTTCACATACAACTACTGGAACAGGGGGGCATTCCTGAAGGTATTCAAGAACTGTGAGGATAACATTTGGGCCCCCCTCAAATATAAGTGCCACCACAGGGACACCTTGGCCAATTCCTAAAAAGAGCAAAGTTAAATTAAAAAATTATTTCATCCCAAGCAAGTTTCTCTCCAAGAAAAAAAAGTAGGCAAAATTCATACTCTAATTTTAATTTTACTGAAAATTAAAATAAAAAGCAAAAACATGTCTAAGACTGTGTTGACTTGACTTTAAGCACTCCACCTGATACCAGTTCACATAAGTAGATGAAATAATATATATATTACTTTGTCACTATTTTACAGACTGTTCTCTAAATGACAAAATTAGAAAATCCAAAAGATAATTTAACATACATCAAATAATTTAATGTCCACTACTTAAAAGTAAAAATTTGTTTTCTATATTTTATTGAGCTCTTGACGAGAAATGTAAAACACTAAATTTTTAGTTTGCTTTTTAATACTACATTAGTTGAACTTCTAACATATATCAGTTTTTCTTTTCTTCTCTGAGACAGAGTATTGCTCTGCTGCCCAGGCTGGAGTGCAGTGGTGCAATCTCAGGTCACTGCAACCTCTCCCTCCCCAGTTCAAGCAATTCTCCTGCCTCAGATTCCCAAGCAGCTGGAACTACGGGAGCACGCCACCACGCCTGGCTAATTTTTGTATTTTTATTAGAGGCAGGGTTTCACCGTATTGGCCAGGCTGGTCTTGAAGTCCTGACCTGTGATCTACTCGCCTCAGCCTCCCAAAGTGCTGGGATTACAGGCCTGTTTTTATTCATTTTCAAAACATGTATTTCTGATTCCAAATGTACTGAGACATTAATATAGAAATTAATGACTGTCTCAAATGTCACATGCAGGGTTTGTAAAAAAGAAAAAATTAAAAAACTTAAAAATTAAAGAAGAAATAGATGACAGAATTACATAACTGGACCTGATCAATAAAATTCCAAGACCTCTAGAAGAGTAACAGAACAAAATTCGTAAAGAATACGAATTTTTGCTTTTACAATAACGTGCAGTGTACTGAGAAAATGCAAACAAACAAAAGGTAACTGTAGAACTATAAACCATTCTTAACTTTTTTTTTGAGAAGGAGTTTTGCTCTGTCACCCAGGCTGGAATGCAGTGACGAGATTTCCACTCACTGCAACCTCTGCCTCCTGAGCTCAAGTGATTCTCCTGTCTCAGCCTTCTGAGTAGTTGGAATTAGAGGTACACCCAGCTAATTTTTTGTATTTTTAGGAAATACGGGGTTTCACCATATTGGTCAAGCTGGTCTTGAACATCTGACCTCAAGTGATACACCTGCCTTAGCCTCCCAAAGTGCTGGGATTACAGGCATAAGCCACCGCGCCCAGCCTTCTTAACCTTTAGCAAAAGCTCTGATTCCACCATAATCTGTAAACACTGTTCTGTAGTTTTTAAATTTCTTTTTTTGTGTGTGTTTTTAAATTTGTTTTACTCCGTCACAGAGCTCAACTTCTTGGTGTCCTTAGATTACAACTTTTCCATTATTTGAAATAAAAATTTAGATGTTGAACCAAGAAAATACAGACATGATTAGAAAGGAAAATCAGTCCCAAGAATACAACTTTTAAGACACATTTAGCCAAACAGTGATACTCATTTTATAAATTTTAAGCTGATTTCTTTCTTTTAGTAATTTTTTTTCCCTTTTAGTTTTCAATCTTGAATTTCATAGCCTTGTCCTGGAATAAATCACTCATTAAGAATATTTATGAATTCCTTGGGCTGCAATGGGATTGCAGTAACAACAGGGCTTCCAATGAACCTTTTTTCATTTTAGCCTTGATAACTGAGTGCCCAATTCTGACTCCTTTTCCTTGGTCTTATCACTTTGTCTAAGATCAAGTTGGCTTGTTGTGTAAGAATAAGTACTTCAAAGAACATTCTATCTTCTTAGAATGCTGTTGGCTATTAATACAGCCCAGAACAATTCCAACAATAACAAATTTGTGAATTCCCTTACTAGCATGAATTCTTTGCTGATTAATAGTTTTTTCAAGTTCTCTTCTCAGTCTGACTTCTGCCCCATACTTTCCAACAGTGCCATCATCCACCAATATGAAATGAGAATGTAGATTATTCAAAACATTCAATTTGCTCAGGGGGTTCAATAAGGTTTGATAAGGAGCAACCACCTAAACAACAGCAAACGTAAGAGTTAGTGAGCAGGATTAAATACAGTATAATGTAAAATAAATTTTGAAATAATCTGTAAAGACAAGTAAGAAATAAAATTCTATTTTACATACAGAAATAAATATGAAATAACTAAGAATGTATCAAAAAGCATAAGCTTCAAAGCAGCTGAAGATTAATCAATGGTTGAAACACATGATATCTTGACCTGTATTACAAAATTATATATTTCATCATCACATTCAAAGAGAGAAGCAGTAAATAAGTAAATAGTGCAAAAAAACTATTATCAGATTAAGTGAATAAACTCAATACATAAGACATTGTGGCTGGGCATGGTGGCTCACGTTTATAATCCCAGCACTTTCGGAGGCTGAGGAAGGTGGATCACCTGAGGTTAGGAGTTCAAGACCAGCCTGGCCAACGTGGTGAAACCCTGTCTCTAAAAAAACTACAAAAATTAGCCTGGTGTGATGGCAGGCAACTGTAGTCCCAGCTACTCAGGAGGCTGAGGCAGGAGAATCATTTGAATGCGGGAGGCAGAGGTTGCAGTGTGCCCAGATCTCGACATTGCACTCCAGCCTGGGCAACAAGAGCAAAATTCCATCTCAAAAAAAAAGTCACAGTAAAAAACAATAAAATGTCATATTGTTATTTTTCTAGCGATAAGTAGACTCTTTAAAACCAATATTAGAAATTTAGTAAGAGATCGTTATAATTCAATAACTGTATGTATTAATTTATTTATGAGACTGATTTTGCTTTGTCACCCAGGCTGGAGTGCAGTGGCACAATCACAGCTCACTGCAATCTCTGCCTCCCGGTTTCAAGCGATTCTCCCACCTCAGCCTATCAAGTAGCTGGGGAGGCCTGTGCTACCACGCCCAGCTAATTTTTGTATTTTTAGTAGAGATGGGGTTTCAACACATTGGCCAGGTTGGTCTCGAACTGCTGATCTCCAGTGATTGGCCTGCCTCAGCTTTCAAAGTGCTGGGATTACAGGTGTGAGCCACCACGCCCAGTCAGTAATTCTTTTTAATAGTCTTGATAAGTATCTATAACCAATTCACACATCTTTAACCTATTCAAACAAAACACTAGTATTTGACTCCTACTTCCCATTCTTAGAATAAAACTCTTATGTAGTCATTAAAAATTTAATTACGACGACTAGCATATGAAAAACATGAAAGCCTGGTGCGGTGGCTCACGCCTGTAATCCCAGCACTTTGGGAGGCCGAAGCAGATGGATCATGAGGTCAAGAGATCGAGACCATCCTGGTCAAGAAGGTGAAACCCCGTCTCAACTAAAAATACAAAAAATTAGCTGGGCATGGTGGTGCGTGCCTGTAATCCCAGCTACTCGGGAGGCTGAGGCAGGAGAATTGCCTGAACCCCAGAGGTGGAGGTTGCAGTGAGCTGAGATGCACCATTGCACTCCAGCCTGGGTAACAAGAGTGAAACTCCATCTCAAAAAAAACAATAATAAAATAAAAAAGAAAAACATGAAATAACTTTATAAATAAAAGACTAAAAGCAAAATGTGCCAACGCTGTAACAGCATTTAAACTTATGAACTAATAGTTATGAATTATTTACATTTACACATGTTCAAAAAGATCAGAAGAAATCCTCAGGAAGATGCTTTTTGAACTTAATTTGAAAAGTATAATATAATCACAAATATTTTAAATTGGCACTATTCTTACTATAATTTTATTTATACATAATTTCAAACATAAGAAATTTTAAAAATAATTCTTACATCTCTCCCAACAAGATCATTCCTGTTTTCAATCACTCCCCATGGAGCTATTCCGATAGTGCAAATCTTTCGAGATGATCTGGAAGCATGTTCTTTGAGGGCATCTCCAACATGTTTTGCCACACCTGTTCATAAAAAATTTTATTCATTTTGTTATTTTTATTTTCTTGGAGACAGTATCCCCCAGGAAAGAATGCAGTGGTGCAATGACAACTCACTGCAGCCTCAAACTCCTGGACTCAAGTGATACTCCCTTCTGAGCCTCCCAAGTAGGTAGACAGTCTGCTAATCTGTTTTTTGTTTGTTTGTTTTGTTTTTGGCAGAGACAAGGTCTTCCCATGTTGTCCAAGCAGGTCTTGAATTTTGGGCTCATGTAATCGTCCTGCCTCAGCCTCCCAAAGTTCTGGGATTTTTGTGTTCAAAACAATCCTGTGCTTAATCTATAACACTATAATATGTGATATATTTCTTCATACATACAAGACATAAAGCAACAAGGTCATAACAAACTTAAAATAAGGTCACAGCCAAACCTACAAAAGAATATACCAGGACCAGCCAGGTTTGGTGGCTCACGCCTGTAATCCCAGCACTTTGGGAGGCCAAGGCGGGCAGATCATAAGGTCAGGAGTTTGAGACCAGCCTGGCCAACATGGGGAAACCCCGTCTCCACTAAAAATACAAACATTAGCAGGGTGTGGTAGAGGCCGCCTGTAATCCGAGCTACTTGGGAGGCTCAGGCAGGAGAAGTGCTTGAATCTGGGAGGAAGAGGTTACAGTATGCCGAGACCGCGCCATTGCACTCCAGCCTGGGATGACAGAGCGAGACTGTCACCAAAAAAAAAAAAAAAAAAAAAACCCGACAAGGACACAAAACACAAAAGGAACAAAAACCACTAAACTCCATAATATCAAATCACAACTGCCAGAAACACATATAACACTAACTTTTACCACATTATTACGTCTAGTCCGTTTTTGTATTTTTCCTATAAATAACTGTAGTTTTTTATTATTCCTCTACACATAATTTAGAAAATATTAAGAATACATCTTGGTGGCACACGGTCATATGCGAAACAAACATACAAACAATAAACAACTACAAAAGTCTCTTTTCAGTCAAAAATGAGGAAGAAAAGTAATAAAAGGCAGTTCCAAAGAACATGTAACTCCTCATTATCACTTGTTTTTTTTAGGATGGGAGACAAGGTCTCACTCTATTGCCCAGGCTGGAGTGTAGTGGTGTGATCATGGCTTGGCTCACTGTAGCCTTGTCATTCCAGGCTCAAGCAATTTTCCACCTCAGTCTTCCAAGTAGTTACGACAGTAGGCACATACCACCATGCCTGGTTATTCTTTTTTTTTGGTAGAAACAGTGTCTTACCATGTTGCCCAGGCTAGTTTTGAACTCCTGGGTTCAAGTGATCCTCCCACCTCAGCTTCCTCGAAGTGCTGGGATTACAGGCATGAACCACCATGCCTGACCCATTATTACTTCTTATGGTCTGAATTGTGTCTGCTAACTTCCAATACCTCAAAATGTGACTGTAGTTGGAGACAAGGCGTTTAAACATGTGATGATACCTCCTCAAAATATTACTGCATTTAGAGGCAGGGCCTTTAAATAGGTGACAATTAATTTAAAATGAGGCCTTTGGAGTGGCCCTGAATATCCAACTGGTGTTTTTTTGTTTTGTTTTTTAAGACAGAATTTCATTCTTGTTGGCCAGGCTGGAATGCAGTGGTGTGGTCTCAGCTCACTGCAACGTCAGCCTCCCAGGTTCAATTGATTCTCCTGCCTCAGCCTCCCAAGTAGCTGGGATTACAGGCATGTGCCACCATGCCCAGCTAATTTTGCATTTTTAGTATAGATAAGGTTTCTCCATGTTGGTCAGGCTGGTCTCGCCTCAGCCTCCCAAAGTGCTGGGATTACAGGCGTGAGCCACCGCATCTGGCCATCAACTGGTAATCTTACAAAGAAATTTGAATACAAAAGGAAACACCAGAAATACCTATACATAAGAGGCCATGAGAGGAAGGACACGGCATGAAGGTGACCATCTGCAAGCCAGAGAGAGACCCCAGGAGAGAGCAAATCTGCTGACACTTACTCTTAGACTTTTAGCCTCCCAAACCATGAGAAAATAAATTTCTGTTGTTTAAGACACCCAGTCTGTGATATTTTGTTATAGTAGCCCTGGCAAACGAATGCATCACTCAATGTGATCTCCGTAACGCATAAGATTTCATCCCTCACCCAGATTATGAAAATAGCATCTTTATAGGTCTTTCAACTGCTTCCCTGCCTACTTATACTGCATTTCAAAAACATCACCCAAGTGATCTTGGTCACTGTTGACTTTCTACTTAAAACCTCTTCTCATTCAGAACAGAAGCCAAAGTGCTTATAATGGTCCACAAGGCCTCACGTGATGATCTGCCTGTCTTTACTAGTTACCGTGTTTCTCTAACACCATACATCAGTAACTTCTGACTTCATCACCTAGCACTCTTTGCTTATTCCACTCAAGGTATATTAGACTGTTCTTACTATTCTTCCAACACACAAACCATCTCCTCCCCTTTACATGCTCTGCCTTGTTTTTCTTATATTTTGCTTCCTCATTTCCTTCTCTCCTCAAATGTCACCTTATCAGCTCTCCTTGACCATGTAACAAAATAGTAGCCCTTCCATCATCCCTCACTATCCCTCTTCTTGACTTCATGTGCCTGCATAACACTTATCAACATCTAACATGTTATACATTACTGAGTTATCTGTTTCTTATCTGCCTCTTCCCTACTAAAATATAAGTTCCATGATGGTAGATATTTTTAGTTTTAGGGAATGATAAATTCTTAGCAGCCTGAAAAATTTCTGACACAATGAGGTTCAAAAGTGCTGGGATTACAGGCTCACACCTGTAATCCCAGCACTTTGGGAAGCCAAGGCGGGAGAATCACCTGAAGTCAGGAATTCAAGACCAGCCCGACCAAGATGGCAAAATCCTGTCTCTACTAAAAATACAAAAATTAGCCGCTTGTGGTGGCAGGAACCTGTAATCCCAGCTACTTGGGAGGCCGAGGCATGAGAATTGCTTGAACCCGGGAGGTGGAGGTTGCAGTGAGCTGAGATGGCACCAATGCACTCCAGTTGGGGTGACAGAGCATGACTCCATCTCAAAAAAAAAAGTTGCTGATAATGAATTAGATGTTTGCAAGCTGACTTAAATAAATGCTTTAGACACTGAAATTAATCTGACCTCCTTATAATTGAACTGTATAAGTGATACGGAAGATACAGAATAAAAGACAGTAGTATATTACAAATTAATTTTTGAAAGCTACTTCTTACTGCTGCTGAGGCAATGGACTGCCACTCTTGTATCGATTTACCACTAGTCGGAAAGTGATGGGAATAATACTTTGCTCTATAGTAGGTTCAAAAACCTTTTTGTAAAAGGCTAAACAGTATTTTAAGCTTACCAGGGCATACTGTCTCTGTCACAACTATTCAACTTTGCTGTTGTAGCACAAAAATAGCCACAGACAATACATAAACTAATATGGTTAAGCTTTGTGTCCCTATCCAAATCTGATCTTGAAATGTAATCCCCATAATCCCCAGGTTTCTTGGGAGAGACCGGATGGAAGTAACTGAATCATGGGAGTGGTTTCCCCAGTGCTGTCCTGGTGATAGTGACTGAGTTCTCACAAGATCTGATGGTTTCCTAAGGGGCTCTTCCCTCTTCGCTAGGCACTTCTCCTTCCTGCCGCTTTGTGAAGAAGGTGCCTTGCTTCCCCTTCACCTTCCACCATGATTCAGTTTCTTGAGGCCTTCCCAATCATGCTGAACTATGGGTCAATTCAACCTCTTTCCTTTATAAATTACCCAGTCTCAGGAAGTTCTTTATAACAGAATGAAAATGGGCTAATACAGTAAATAAATGAGTGTTCCAATAAATCTTTATTCAAGGTTTGGGCTGATTTAGCACACAGGCTATAGTTTCTCAAACCCTGCTCTAAAGTGTTTTTTTTTCTTTTTTAAACTCAAATTTCCCTAGCTTCATCAGAACCTAAAGTGTTTTTTTAAGATAAAATAATAACCAAACAAGTTCTATTAACATTTTTACCTACAAACTCTAGATTATTAAACAAAAGAGTTAAATATGTCTATATTCGGTGTTGATCTTTATTTCAAATATCTAATTGATATTATGAAAAAATTTAAAACACACTAAAATTGGTATAAGCCTCACATTACCTGTGTTTACTCCTCCAGTTAAAATCCAGGCTCCGGTTGTAACTGCAGCTTTAATAAGACCTTTTCCAAGCAACTGCTTGATTCGTGGGTGAAGCTCAAATTTCTGCATGCCCCCATGTACAGAGATAACAAGTTTGGGTAATTCCATTTGCCATTCTTTAAGCAGAAGTTGCAGAATGACTTCAGGTTTGGTGTCATATGACAGCCTCACATACTAAAAAAAATTTTTAAAAGGACAAAATAAGTGAACATGTTCATAGGTTTCATAATGCGACATTATACGACTTTGAAAAATTTCATATGAATCAGATTATGCAAAAAGAGATTTCATAGGCTACTTTGAATATATTTATACTCCAAGGAATAAGCAATAGCAAATGAAAAAAATCATTCTGTGAGATCTACAGAAATAGTGAAACTAACTTTTAAACATTTAGACACAAATGCTACTCTTTCTGTTTAAACTCAATTACCATTGACTCAATTCACCAACGTACATAAAGTATTTATTACCTTCTTTAACTATGACTACACAGTGAGTGAGAAGCATTAGACTAGCAGAAGAGGATAGGAAAAGAAAAAAAAAGAGAACTGTGGCAGAAAAAAATGGAGGCTTCTAAGACTCTTGCTACGAGGACAGGCAAATAGTGAATTACCTGTTTGAAAGTTTGTCAATGATCTACTCCATTTATAAATGACTGGGACTCTGAAGTATAATTTAAAAAGGTATTTTTAATATAGATGCTTTTCTTTGCTGGAATTAACAGCGGATTTGATCAAATTTGGAAATAATCAGAAAATCCTAATATTTCATAGTGTTTAGATGGATTCCCCAGTTTAATTTTTGAAAAAATCTTTCATTAGAAAAATAGAAAAAAGCTATCATGTGTAAAATAACTTCCTCTGGTTTGAAATATTTTAAAAATTAACTTCCTGTTTAAGTGGTATCACAAGACGTACTTGCTACATCCACATTAATTCATTCTCTTGGCCTAAAGCACATATATGAATTAGCTCATAAGAAACTTCAAATATTCAGACACTGAGACATTTAAAAATCATCTCTAAGAAGCCATATTTGCAAAATGAGGTATTTTCCATTCCTTTACAAATGTCAAATACCACTGAAAATCTCAGTACTGACAAACGAATGAAACCAAATGTCTGGGTGCAGTGGCTTACTCCTAATCCCAGCACTTTCGAAGGCCAAGGCGGGTGGATCACCTGAGCTCATCAGAGACAGGGTTTTGCCATGTTGGTCAGGCCGGTCTCAAACTCCAGACCTCAGGTGATCCACACACCTCGGCCTCCCAAAGTGCTGGGATTATAGCCACCATGCTCAGCCAGCTTTGTTCTATATAAAGTCTTTCTGTTTCAGTTTTGTTTAACTCATTATTATACTTGGGCACATAAACAGTATTAGAGAAGTAGTCTAAAGTTAATGGTTTTAAGACTATATTAGAAATAAATGAGAAATTCCACGTCCTATAGTGATGGGCTAGGTTGGTTTGGACATACTCTGTCCCCTGGGAACTAGAAAAACTAAAAAACAGTAATACCTGCTTTAAAACATTAGCAGGTGGCCAGGCATGGTGGCTCACACCTCTAATCCCAGCACTTTGGGAGGCCAAGGCAGGTGGATCACTTGAGGTCAGCAGTTCAAGACCAGCCTGGCCAACATGGTGAAACCCTATCTCAACCAAAAATACAAAAAAAATTAGCTGGTTGTAGTTAATTTTTTTTTCTTACAGGCAAGAACCTGTAATCCCAGCTACTCAAAAGGCTGAGAGGCAGGAGAAACGCTTGAACCTAGGAGATAGAAGTTGCAATGAGCAGAGATCGCACCACTGCATTCCAGCCTGGTTGACAGAGAGAGACTGTCTCAGCAACAACAACAAAAGACATTATCTGAGTACAAAGGCAGTGAGAACTTGGGGGATCAGGATCCAGGAGAAAAGGAAAACTTGGGAGAGATGTTGAGCTCACTGTTTGGCACAGTTTTTTCCTCATCAGAACACAGAGGCCAGCAGAGCAGGGCCTGGCTCTGTTGTCCAGGCTAGAATGCAGTGACATGGTCAGGGCTCAATGCAGCCTTGATTCCTTAGGCTCAAGAGATCCTCCCGCTTCAGCTAGAGTGCAGTAACACAGTCAGAGCTCAATGCAGCCTCGACTTCTTAGGCTCAAGAGATCCTCCCACTTCAGCCTCCCAATTAACTGAAACTACAGGTATGTACTACCATGCCCAGCTAATATTTTTGAATTTTAGTAGAGACAAGGTCTCACTATGTTGCCCAGGCTGGTCTGACATTCCTGAACTCAAGTGATCTTCCCACCTAGGCCTCCAAAAATGCTGGGATTACAGGTATGAGCTACCACACCAAGGTTAAATGTTTAAATCTAAACAAATAATAACTATGTTTTGAGGGTTTGAAATAAACAGAAAATTAAAATTTATGCTGACAAGAACACATAAGTATTTTTTTTTTTTTTGAGACGGAGTTTCGCTGTTGTTACCCAGACTAAGTCTTAAGAGAAATAAATGCAGTTACAAATATTCTAAAAGTTTTTGCATTGTTGAAAAAAGTGGTAAAGGAAGAATTTATAGTACAGGCATGTGCCACACCCTTTGATCAATGACAAACTGCATACATGAGGTGGTTCCATAATATTATAATACCATATCTTCTGTATCGTTTTATGTTTAGATATATTTATATACATATTTATCACTGTGTTACACCTGCCCACCATATTCAGTACAATAACACTCCACAGAGGTTTATAGCCTAAAAGCAATAGGCTATATACCACATAGCCTAGACATAGTAGGCCATACCATCTAGGTCTGAATACACTCTATGGTGTTAGCATGAAGAAATTGCCTAACATATCTCTAAAAACATATCCTCATTGTTAAGTAATAAATGACTGTACAAGATAAGTTTAAAAATGCATTTCATCACATTTATTATAATATTCTTTTTCTTTTTTTGGTTGTTTTTATTTTTGAGACCAAGTCTTGCTCTGTCGCCCAAGCTGGAGTGCAGTGGCACAATCTCAGACCATTGCAACCTCTACCTCCTGAATTTAGGCCATTATCCAGCCTCAGCCTCCTGGTAGCTGGGACTACAGGCTTGTGCCACCACACCGGACTAATTTTTGTATTCTGAGTAGAGAATAGGTTTCACTATATTGACCAGACTGGTCTCGAACTCCTGACCTCAGATAATCCAGCTGCCTTCACCTCCTAAAGTGCTGGCAGAGGCATGAATCACCGTGCCTGACCAATATTCTTTTTCTAAAGAATAGAAAAAGAATGTATAGTAGGCCTTTTGTATCCGTGGGATCTACACTTACGGTTTTAAGCAACCGTGGATCAAATATACTCAAGAAAAAAAACTGAGCCTGTACTAGCCTTTATTTTTTTGTCATTATTCCCTAAACAATGCAATTTGCCGGGTACAGTGGCTCACGCCTGTAATCCCAGCACTTTGGGAGGCCAAGGCAGGTAGATCACAAGGTCAGGAGTTCAAGACCAGCCTGACCAAAATAGTGAAACTTTGCCTGTACTAAAAATACAAAAATTAGCTGAACGTGGTGGCGGGCACCTGTAATCCCAGCTCCTCAGAAGCTTGCGGCAGGAGAATTGCTTGAACCTGGGAAGCAGAGGTTGCAGTGAGCTGAGATCATGCTATTGCACTCCAACCTGGGCAACAAGAGCAAAACTCCATCTCAAAAAACAAAACAAATAAAAAAATGCAATTTATCAACTATTTATATAGCATTTACACTGTACTGGGCATATTATTAATATTTTTATTTTAAGTAGAGACAGAGTCTCACTATTTTGCCCAGGCTGGTCTCCAACTCCTGGCCTCAAGCCATTTTCCCATACTCTCAGAAGTGTTGGGATTCTAGGCATAAGCCACTGAGCTTGGCCTATATTAGGGATTATATGGAATCTAGAGATGATTTAAAGTATACAAGAGGGTGTGCATAGACTATATCCAAATACTATGATATCTGTAGACTTTGGTATCTGATGGAAGTCTTGAAACCAAGCCCCCTGAAGAATGACTGTATAAATAATAAGCTAATAAAGGAGTAAGAAAATAATAAAAAATACTTAATACTTAAAAAATACTTAATCCAAAATAATGTAAGAAAAAAAAAAAGACAAAAGTGAGACATAACTAATAACGTAATGGTAAATTTACACTTAAATCCATAGAAGACAACATTTTTAAAAACAAAAGAGATCTTTTAAACATAAGAAAAGGTTAAATGTGTATACTCTAAGAATGCTAAGTTGCTGGCAAAAAAAAAAAGAAAACGTTAAAACTGAAAAGGAAGAAAGACAGCTTAACTATACTGATTCCAGAAAAAGCAGACCTTGTCAAGAAAAGTGATAAGAAACAAAGTACATTTTAATGATAAAATGTTCAATACACCAGAAAGATACAATTCTATATTTGTATGTACCTATGTACTTTAAAATATGCAAAGAAATGACAGAGACCAACTTTCTGTCAATCTTGCCACACAAACTGTGATAATGTTTATTATTTAAATAACAAGACAAATGAAGTAAAAAAGAAAACCAAATATGTGACATACCTTAGCTCTGTAGGAATGAGAACCCCCTTGAAAATTTATGACTCCATAAGCATCCGTTGGGCTCTGTTCTGTATGCTTTTCCACAGACCATTCTTCTACTGCCTGATTAAAATAGTCACCCAATTTCACATCTGAGTATTTCATGGCAAGACTTGCAGTAAAACAAGCATGTTGCTTGACCAAGCGACCACAAAAACACCTAAAAGAAAAAGGTCAGATGATTAAAAGATCTTTCAGAAAATTACAGTTAACGAAAAAACAATTAAAATGAATAAACCAACAAATAGTATAAAAATAAACTTTTTCATTTTTGGATATCCATATATTAATGCCTTCAATGTAGCACTGAAAGAGAGTAAGTAATTAGTCTAAGATGAAGTCATCGTCCAGATTTAACCAGGGCCATCTATAAAACATGGTATAGGCATATAACAGAAATAGTATTTACACTGGGTGCAGTGGCTCACGTGGTAATCCCGGCACTGTGGGAGGCCAAGACTGGAGGACCTCGAGGCCAAAAGTTCAAGACCATCCGGGAAATAGCAAGACCTTGACTTGACAACATTTTTTTTTAATTAGCCAAATGGGACTACAGATGTAGTCCCAGATACTCAGCAGACTAAGGTGAAGAGGCTTGCTTGAGCCCAGCAAGGCTGCAGTGAGCCTTGGTCATACCACTGTACTCTATCCTGGACAAAAGAGGAAGCAGGACTCCAACTCAATAAAAAAAAAGAAGAAGAAGAAAAGGGCCGGGCGCAGTGGCTCACGCCTATAATCCCAGCACTTTGGGAGGCCAAGGCGGGTGGATCACGAGGTCAAGAGATCGAGACCATCCTGGTCAACATGGTGAAACCCCGTCTCTACTAAACATACAAAAATAAGCTGGACACAGTGGTGCGCGCCTGTAGTCCCAGCTACTCGGTAGGCTGAGGCAGAATTGCTTGAACCCAGAAGGCAGAGATTGTGGTGAGCTGAGATCGTGCCATTGCACTCCAGTCTGGGTAACAACAGCGAAACTCTATCTCAAAAACAAAAAAAAAAAAGAAGAAAAGGAAAACAAATAGTATTCAATAAAAATGAGAAATGAATGAACCACTAATGATACTACAGTATGGATAAATCTCAAAATCATCATGCTGAGTGAAAGACCCTAGATGCCAAAGATTATATATTTATATAATTCCATGTACACAAAATTCAAGAAAACATGAACTAATCTATACAGTGACAAAACGGTGATCAACGGTGTCTGAGGCTTGGGTACAAACAGGAATGGCGGAATGGCATTCTACCCAGCAGTACCTTCTGGACTATAACACAGAAAGTGGGAACCTAATGGAGCTGGGCAGTCTCACTGATTTGATAAAATCTTAAAATCAGATCAGAGTTTGAGGAAGCCAAGGCAGCTAGAGTTTGTGAGGTAGAAAACAAAACAAGGAGGGAGCTCCAAAGAGAAAGTTCCAAGTATCTGCAGAAGATCTCCTTAAGCATGTGTAAGAATAACTACTTGGCCGGGCTCAGTGGCTCCTGCCTATAATCCCAGCATGAGCCACTGAGGAGGCCCTTTGGGAGGCCAAGATGGGCAGATCACCTGAGGCTGGGCATTTGAGACCAGCCTGGCCACATGGTCAAACCCTGTCTCTACTAAAAATACAAAAAATTAGCTGGGTATGGTGGTGCATGCCTATAATCCCATCTACTTAGGGGGCTGAGGCAGGAGAATCACTTGAACCTAGGAGGCGGAGGTTATAGTGAACAGAGATTGGGTGACTACACTCCAGCTGGACGAAAGAGTGAGACTCCATCTCAAAAAAAAAAAAAGAAAAAGAAAAAGAATAACTACTTAAGGCAAAGTTAAGAGCTAGTAGACAGCAATAGCCAAAACAATTTCCGAAGCTTATAAAGGGCAGGGAACAGTTTATGTTCCCATCAGCCAGAGTAGAGATCTCATAAAACACAAGGTTTTGGGCATAACAGTTAAAGAAAAAAACAAAAACAAAAACATAAGGTTTATGATAAAGCCCTCAAAAAAGTATCATTGAATTAGAAGGACTAAATTAAACTTAGACAGCCCATGCCCTGACAAAGTGTAAGAGCAAGACCTGAAAGGTTTGAACTGATCCAAAGTAATCTAATTGCATGCTACAGTAAGTCCAAAACTCCGTAGTGGAATATAACAAATCCTGGCACCTCAAAACATAAAATTCAGTTTTCGGCATCCATCAAAAAAATTCCCAGGCATTGGCCGGGCGTGGCGGCTCACACATGTAATCCTAGTACTTCGGGAAATGGAGACCAGTGGATGGCTTGAGCACAGGAATTCAGACCAGCTTGGGCAACATGGCAAAACCCATCTCCACAAAACATACAAAAGTCAGTCTCCTGCCTCAGCCCCCAAGTCAGTGATACATGCCTGTAGTCCAAGCTACTTGGGACGCTGAGGTAGGGGACTGCTTGAGCCCAGGAGGCAGAGGTTGCAGTAAGCTGAGATGATGCTACTGCACTCCAGCCTGGGTGACAGAGAGAGACCCTGTCTCAAAAAAGTAAATAAATAAAAATTTTAAAGAACACGCAGGCATGCAAAGCAGCAGAAAACTATAAATAAAAATCGACAACTAGAAATAAAAGAGATGACTGAATTATCAGAAAATGATACAAAAACAAGTAATATAAATGAGTTCCAACTATTAAAACCATGCTTGTTGGGCATGATGGCTCACGCCTATAATCCTAGCACTTTGGGAGGCTGAGGCAGGTGGATGGTTTAAGCCCAGGAATTTGATATTGGCAACACAGTAAGACTCTGTCTTTAAAAAAAAAAAAAAAAAGTAAAGGAAAAAAAAAGACCATGCTCAGGAAGGTAGGAAAAAAATATGAGCATGACGAAGGAAGAATTGGGGAAGACATTTAAAAACTTTTTTTCAAAGAATCAACTAAAACATCTAGAGGTAAACAATATATTTTTAAAAAATTAGCTGGGTTCTACAGCCATACCACCCTGAACTCACCTGAAAAAAAAAAGAAATAAAATTAGCTGGGTGTAGTGGTGCATGCCTGAAGTCCTAACTACTGTGGAGGCTGAGGTGAGATTACTTGAGACCAGGAGTTCAGTAAGCTATGTATGATTGTGCCACTGCACTCCAGCCTGGGCGACAGTCACTAAAATAAAATTATATATACATACACACACACATATACAGACAGAACATAAAAATCTGTAGTATATTAAGTTTAAATCAGCAAAGATCTGCAAGCAATAATAACCTAAACTTCTAGGCTGAGCATGGCTGCTCACCCTTGTAATCCCAGCACTTTGGGTGGCCAAGGTGGGACAAGAGCGTCAGCCTAGGAGTTCGTGACAGCCTGGGCAACATAGAAAGGCCACAACTTAAAACTTTGTTTAAAAAAATTGTTTTTGAAAAAAAAAGAAAAAAGAAAAAAATCAGCTAAAACTAGGTTCTTGGTACATGGAAAAAAAAAAGAAAAAAGAAAAGAAAAAAATTTAAAAACTATTAAAAAAATAACCTACACTTCTACCTAAAAAAACTAAAAATAAAAGCAAATTAAACTCAAAGTAAGCAGAAGAAAAGATACGATAAAGAGAACAAAATGTGCTGGGTGCAGTGGTTTATGCCTATAATCCCAGCACTTCAGGGGGATGAGGCAGGTAGATCACTTGGTCAGGAGTTTGAGACCAGCCTAGCCAACATGGTGAAACCCCATCTCTACTAAAGATACAAAAATCAGCCAAGTGTGGTGAAAGGTGCCTGCAATCCCAGCTACTGAGGAGGCTGAGGCATAAAAATCACTGGAAACTGGGAGGCGGAGGTTGCAGTGAGCCGAGATTGTGCCACTGCACTGCAGCCTGGGTGACACAGCGAGATTCCACCTCAAAAATAAATAAATAAATAAAAGGAGAGAGAACACAAACAAAAAAGAAAAACAGTGGGAAAAAATCAAGAATACTTGTCATTGAAAAGATCAATAAAATTGATAAACTAAAGTCAGAATAATGAGAAAAACTGAATAGGAAAATAAATTAACATTTCCATTTGGACAATACAGCAAGACCCTGTCTCAAAAGAAAAAAATCATTAATATACCTTCCCACAAAGAAAATTCAAAGCCAAATGCCTTCACTGGGAAATTTCAACAAACATTTAGGAGGAAATATCAATTCTACACACATTCTTCAAAAAAAAAATCAGAAGTGGATACATTTCCCAATTCATTTCATAAGGTGAGACTCATCCTGGTTTGAAAAAAAAAAAAAACAGAAACAAAATAAAACCAGCCTGTAATTCCAGCTACTTAGGAGGCTGAGGTGGGAAGACTGCTTGAGGCCAAGAGTTCTAGATCAGCTTGGGCAACAAATGGAGACTGCCATCTCAAAAAAAAGGGAAAAAGAAAAAAAAAAAAAAGCATTAGCATTACAGGAAAAGACTAGGCTGGGCACAGTGGCTCATGCCTATAATCCTAGCACTTTGGGAGGCCAAGGTGGAAGGATCACCTGAGCTCAGGAGTCAAGATCAGTCTGGCAACATGGCAAAACCCCTTCTCTACAAAAAAAAAAAACAAAAAACAAACAATTAGCCAGGTATCGGGGCACGCATATGTGGTCACAGATATTTGGGAAGCTGAGGTAGAAAGATCATCTGAGCCTGGGAGGTCAAGTCTGCTGTGACTATGCTACTGAACTCCAGTCTGGGCCACAGAGTAAGACCCCCTTTCCCCACTCTCTGCAAAAAGAAAAAAGAAACAGACATGGTGGCTCATACCTGCAATCCCAGAAGTTTAAGACCTGCCTTGGCAATATAGTGAGACCCCATTCTCCACAAAAAGGAAAACGAGAAAAGCACTGGACAAAACTGAACATCTATTCATTATAAACATTTCAGCAAACCAGGGAAGGAGGATTTCCTCAACACAGATAACATAATACTTACTAAATCTTATGAAGAGTACCACTGCATGCTAAGTCTGTGATTCATTCTAGCTAATCACAGAACCAAGGTGTGGTCTTGGAGACTCCTGACACACATGTGAACAAAATGTATGAGATAACTGTTTCAGGCATTGAACAAGAAGAAACATGGGGCTGTAATCCTTGAAATGAAGAAAACACACGAGGTAAGCCCCCATGATTGCACCAGCTTGGGGGCAATTTCTCAATCATAGAGATGATACCTAGGCAAAAATGGTAGTCACTGAGCCAAGCAAGGAAGTAGAGAACAGAATTCTAGGCGGCTGAAACAGTTGGAGTTTGTAGAATATCAGAGAAAAGGGAACTATACAGGTAAGAAGGAAAAAAAATCTCACATGGGGATTCACCATGGGTCTTTGGCCATGGTCTAAGGTGTATCTGTGAGAGATTCCGTGATGCCTAGCGGCAATCACTTGCTGAGTGTGGGTCTGAGAACTGGGTCATAAAGGTCTGGAAGACACAGCAGTTTTATTTCAGCATGCAAAGACATCACTGAGCCCCTAGAAAACTCAGTTGAGACCAGAAAAAAGCTATGCCTTAAGAGGAAGGTCCACATCCTAGGATTATGTTCAAAACAGAAGTAGAACTACCCTAAAAGAAGAAAATCAAACCCAAATGGACAAAAAGAATCTACCAATAATTAATTTAATCAACTGTCAGAAAGAAACCAAACACTCCTTACAGAATAATTATTTACTCCAGAACCCCTAGAATAGGTTATCTGCAACATATAATAAAAAATTAACTACATACATTAAAAAAGATGAAGAAAAAAAACAGTCACTAGAAACAGACCCTAAATGATGCACATGTTAGAATCAGTAAACAAACACTTTAATGCAGGTGTTGTAAATATGTTGAAGGACATAGAGGAATAGACAGTCATAATGAGAGTGCACATGAGGCATCTCAACAGCGAAATGGAAACTGTAACCAAGAATCAAATAGCAATCCTAGTACTGAAAAATGTAATGTTTGAAATGAAAGTTCACTGGATGGACAAAACAGCATCCTATAGAAATAAGAGTGAAAGAAGTAGGATTGAGTGAACCTGAAGACAGATCAATAGAAATTATTCAATACACCAGATAAAGAAAAAAAAAGTTAATTAAAAATAAAACCTTCCCAGCCAGGTGAAGTGGCTTACCCCTGCAATCCCAGTACTTTGGGAAGCTGAGTCAATTGAATTACAAGGTCAGAAGTTCGAGACCAGCCTGATCAACATGGTGAAACCCCATCTCTACTAATAATACAAAATGGTGGCAGGTTCCTGTAATCCCAGCTACTTGGGTGGCTGAGGGAGGAGAATCGCTTAAATCTGGGAGGCAGAGGTTGCAATAAACTGAGATTGCACCACTGCACTCCATCCCGGCCAACAGAGCAAGACTCCATCTCAAAGTTAAAAAAAAAAAACCTTCCAAATTAGGTTAAAAATCTGAATGTGCAAATATTTATGCAGAATATTAAGTAGAATAAGTACAAAGAGAATCACTTTTAGGCATATTATAGACATGCTGTTGAAAACGAAAGGTATAGAAAAAAAATCTTTAAAGTAGCTAGAGATAAAAAAAAAGACCCATTCCACACAGGGAGACAACTACCGTAATGACAGATGCCTTCTCGTTAGACACAAAAGCTACAAGATAAAATAATGACATCTTTAAAGTGCTGCAATGGACTGGGTGCAGTGGCCCATGCCTGTAATCCCAGCACTTTGGGAGGCCAAGGCAGGCAGATCAGGAGGTCAGGAATTCAAGATCAGCCTGCCAGCATGGTGAAACCCCATCTCTACTAAAAATACAAAAATTAGCTGGGTGTGGTAGTGTGTGCTGGAAAGCAATGAGGCAGAAGAATCTGCTGGAAAGGCTGAGCAGAAGAATCGCTTGAACCTGGAAGGCAGAGGTTGCAAAGAGTGGAGATTGCACCACTGCACTCCACCCTGGGACAACAGGGCAAAACTCCATCTCAAAAAAAAAAAAACTACTGCCATGAAAAAACTCAATCCAGAAGTCTATATCCACTGATAACATTCTACAAATATGAAAACAGAAGAAATATATTTTTAGTTAGACCAAACTGACAAAATTCCTATTCAGTATAGCTGTACTACATGAAATGCTAAATAAAGGAAACTCTTTGGCCTTCTGAAACAAGCGACACCAGATGAAACCTCACCAGCTATAAGAAGAAATAATAGGACTGGACAGGCGTAAGCATAGGGGCAAATATAAAAGACTGTCAGGTCTTTACGTTTTTTTGGAGACAGGGTCTTGCTCTGTTGCCCAGACAGGAGTGCTGTGGTGTGATCAGGGCTTATTGCAGTGTCAAGTTCCTGAAAATGCCAAGATATTTTGTGTGTGTGTGTGTGTGTGTGTGTGTGTGTGTGTGTGTGTGTGTTTTCTCACTATGTTACCTGGGCTTGTCTCAAACTCGTAGGCTCAAACAATCCTCCTGCCTCAACTTCCCCAAATGCTGGGATTACAGGTATGAGCCATCACATCCAGCTTGTCACGTTTTTTGCTTGTTTTGTTTTTATGAACTTCCTTGAAAAACTCCTCAATATATCTAAAATGAATTCATTCTATGTACTTTTATTCCTAGTCTACCACCCAGAGACCTTCTCTTCTTCCTCTACTTTCTTATCAGACCCTAATACATATTGCAATTTACTCAGTTGCCTAAATAGGAAATGTAGTTACCATGCTCAAATCTTCCCTTCTCTTCACATCCACCAAATCCTATTGCATTTATCTCATTAATTCCTTCAAATATGCCTACTTCTCTTCATTGTCAAAAACACCTTACTTCAGGTTCTCATCTTTTTGCCAGAATCACTCCAAAACCTTAGCAACTGGTCTATTTTCTTCCAATCCAATGTAAACTGCTCTTACAAAAAATAAAATCGGTCAGGCACAGTGGATCCTGATTATAATTCTAACACTTTGGGAGGCAGAAGCAGGTGAATCACCCGAGGTCAGGAGTTCAAGACCAGCCTGGCCAACATGGCCAAACCCCATCTCTACTAAAAATACAAAAACTAGCTGGGCATGGTGGCAAGCACCTGTAATCCCAGCTACTCAGGAGGCTGAGGCAGGAGAATCATTTCAAGCCAGGAGGTGGAGTTTGCAGTGAGCCAAGATTGCACGACTGCACTTCAGCCTGGGTGACAGAGGAAGACTCCATCTCAAAAATAAAAAACATCTAGCAGGTTATTAATTGCCTATATAATATCCTTTTAACATGAAAATCAAAAGTATGTGCAAGTATACAAAAAGCCTTGTAGAGAACTGAAATTCTATTAACAATAAAAAATTGGGAAGAAGAGGAGAAAAAAAAACAAATAAATAAACGAGACAAAAAGCTTAAATGATCTGGTTCTTATTTTTCCAGGCTCAAATCTCTCAAATCCCCATCTGAACATCTTACATTCTGCAGTTTCCTGACAGAACCATGATTTCTTTCACTATCAGACCTTCTCACACACTGCTCTCACTGCCTAAAATTCCTGTCCTTCAACTTTTGCCCAATGGACACAACTTTACAACCCTTCTTAGGTAGCGTCACCTGAGTTTCAAACAGTTTTGTCTGACCCTTCTCCTTTCAAGTCTAGGTAAAGTATCCATCAAATATAATAGCATATGAGTTTCAAGCCATTGTATTCTAACTCATATTTCTAATACATTATATTTATTTTTCATAATTTGTACAGGGCAGTTATGTCAAACTTACCTGACAAGTTGCTGACAAATTTGACATCCTGGAAGGCATCTATTGAACACAAAATGGTAAATAAGTTATTTCAGGGGAAAAATGTTCTGATTTTAAACTAAAGCATATAAAATCCATAAAATACAAAGAAAAATTATATACTTAGTTAAATTTTTCAGTAGATATCACAGATGATTATACCTTCATTTATAATTCAAATAACTATATTTTAACTGATATTTCAATATTTTAAATATAATTAGTTGTGACATAAAATCCAGAAACCATAAAACACTGCCTGATTTAACTGCATAGAAATATAACATTTATATGTGGCAAAAATCTGCCAGTAATAAAGTCTAAAGGTAAACAACAAAAAAATTGCAAAGGATTAGTTCCCTAATATATAAAGAGCTGCCTCAAATCAATTTTTTTTTTAAAGACAGAGTTTCTCTCTTGTCTTCCAGGCTGGGGCGCAATGGCATGATCTAGGCTCACTGCAACCTCCGCCACCCAGGTTCAAGCAATTTCTCTGCCTCAGCCTCCTGAGCAGCTGGGATTATAGGCACATGCCACCACACCTGGCTAATTTTTGTATTTTTAGTAGACAGGGTTTCGCCATGTTGTCCAGACTAGTCTCCTGATCTCAAGTGATTGGCCTGCTTTGGCCTCCCAAAGCGCTGGGATTACAGGCATGAGTCGCTGCACCCAGCTAATTTCGTATTTTTAGTGGAGACAGGTTTTTGCCATGTTGGTCAGGCTGGTCTTGCACTCCTGATCTCAGGTGATCTGCCCACCTCGGCCTCTCAAAGTGCTGGGATTAGAGGTGTCCAGCAAATCAATTTTTAAGATCCAAAATTATAAAGGAAAACTAAATGAACCAACAGTTCATAATGAAAACATATATAAGAAGATTTGATTACAAAAGATTTTTAAAGCATATTTTAAGACCTTATCTTGCCCAGGTGCAGTGGTCCACACCTATAATCCCAACACTCTGGGAGGCGCAGATGAATTGCTTGAGTCCAGGTAAGACCAGCCTGGGCAACATGGTGAAACTCCATCTCTACAAAACTACAAAACATTAGCTAGGCGTAGTGGTGCAGGCCTATAGTCCTAGCTGCTAGAGAGGCTGAGGTGGAAGAATTGCTTGAACACAGGAGGTCAAAGCTAAAGTGAGCCATGATCATGTCCCACTGCACTCCAGCCTGGGTGACAGAGTGAAAACCTGTCTCAAAAAAATAAAAAAATAAAAGACACTATCTTGGTGAGAATACAGAGAGAGGTAGTCTCGTATTGGTGGGTGACAGTATATATTTATATAGTCCCTATGGAAGGCCAATTGGCAATATCCATCAAAATGAAAAATGTTGACTCTCACACACTAATTCCAATTCTAAAAGTACAGGCTAAAACATATTTGTAGTATACATATAAATGCAAACTGTACAAGGTTACTGACTGCAGCATTTTTTTTCTAATGGCCAAAAGAAAAAGTGAAAACAGCTAAAATGTTCATCAATAAGGGATTACTAAAACAAATTATAATTCAGACATAATTAGGATGAAACAATTAACAAACTAGTGATCGCCAAGATAAGTTACAGATGCAATGGGCTACACTATATATTTTAAACGGGGAGGGGGATAAACATCTGCTTGGACATGCAAAGATTGTATCTAACTTTCTGAAAGGCATTCCAAGGAATGGATAGCATCAGATTTTTATTAGCAAGGGGAACTAACTGATACCTAAAGTGCAGTAGTAGAAAGGAGACTTTTACTGATAGTATTTTAAGTTCTGAACCAAGTATGAATTACCTATTCGCATAAAAATAAGAATTCAACTAGTGTAGAAAGAAATGACCAGCTCATTGTGGTCATAAATTAGGTCTCATATGAATGGTTAAAGGTGGGGATACTTAAAAACAACTTTAAATTTCTTTAACAATTTGAGTGCTTTTATTATTTCCATTGCAAAGTATAATTAATAAAGCCATAGGAAATAAACTCCTTAATGATAACACAATCTATTTTTTTTAATAAAGCAAAACAATTTCTATGGGAGAAAATCAGTGTTTTATTTTAGAACTGGCACACTGAACTTAAATACTAATCCTATCTTTAATGAACAGCCATGTGACTTGGGAAATGTCATTTACCCTCTCTGGCTGAGAAATGTGATATGACGTCCTAATAAAACATGTCTTTAGTAAGTAGTAAGAAATCAGAATAAATCATAGAACCTAATAATTGGAAGAGATGTTGAGGTTATCTATTTTAATAATCCAAAAAGAACTGATCAAAAATGTTTATAGAATTTATTTAAAAACTTGAGAGATATTTTAAAAACATAAAATATTTTCTCAATAGTAAGTAAATGCAAATTTAAAATATATACTATTATAATTACTGTCAATTAAAAATAAATAAATAAATGTATGCCAGGCACGGCCCAACACTTTGGGAGGCTGAAGCAGGCAGATCACCTGAGGTCAGGAGTTCGAGACCAGCCTGACCAACGTGGTGAAACCTTGTCTCTATTAAAAATACAAAAAACTAACTAGGCGTGGTGACACATGCCTGCAGTCCCAGCTACTCCGGTGGTTGAGGCAGGAGAATCACTTTAACCCAGAAGGCAGACTTTGCCTGACTCAATCTCCCAAAATGCTGGAATCACAGGTATGAGCCACCATGCCCAGCCTAAATATTAATTTCTGAACCAAGTATGAATTACCTATTCACATAAAAATAAGAATTCAACTAATGTACAAAATAGCATATATCTAGATATATATAGATATAGATATATGCTATTTTCTACTTATCGCGTTTTATTGACGGTGATGGAAAATGTTACTCTAGTCATTACTCAGTAAAGCAGACACTCTCATTCACAACTGGGTCATCATTTATATTGCTTTAATACTTTTGAAAAGATTTTGGTATTGCATAACCTAAAGGGGGAAAACCTTAAGTAAAAAAAGGTTTTATCCACAAAGATCTTCATTGTGGCCTAATTTTAATTTAAAATGGCTAAAAATGGAAAACTATTCAATTGCTCAATAGTAGAACAGGTATATAAATTGTGGTATACACAGTAACAGAATATTAACTACCATTGCTTTTTTTTGAGACAAAGCTTCGTTCTTGTTGCACAGGCTAGAGTGGCGCAATGTTGGCTCATTGCAACCTCCACTTTCCAATTTCACATGATTCTCCCACCTCAGCCTCCCAAGTAGCTGGGATTAGAGGCACCCACCACCATGCCCGCTAATTTTTGTATTTTTAGTAGAGACAGGGTTTCACCATGTTGGCGAGGCTGGTCTCGAACTCCTGACCTCGTGATCCACCCACCTCAGCCTTCCGAAGTGCTGGGATTACAGGCGTGAGCCACTGTGCCTGACCTATTAACTATCATTCTTTTAAAATATCTGTGGTACAAAAAAAGCAGGTACAACATTTTGCATACAGGCTGAATGTAGCAATATTTTAAAACAAAAACAAAACACTGAGGAAAAATTAAAAATAAAGCCACGAGATGTTACTGACAGTCTTAATGTATTGAAACTCTAAGCACTGAGCCAACTTTCTGTTTCTCAAAAGTTTTTAAAATGTATCCTGTACATTACACTTAAAATGGAAATGTGTTTGCTGTGAGAGATCCATTCAAAATGAATTTTTTACTTTTTTTTCTTGTTTTCTTCTTCTTTTTTTTTTTAAACAGACACAGGGTTTCACGATGTTGCCCAGGGTGGTCTTGAACTCCTGAGCTCAGGTAATCCACCCGCCTCTGCCTCCCGAAGTGCTGGGATTACAGGCGTAAGCCACCACACCTGGCCTCAAAATGAATTTTTTAAAGGTTAAAATAAAGAGAAATATAAAATTAAATTACACAAATTTACATTTATGTAATTTGACAAAAGGTTTTAGAAATTCTATTCAACAAATATTTACTAAGTACCCACTATAAACAAGAATAGTGACATACTCTATAATGTAAAAAGACCCAGTTAAATTAAAATTGTATATTAGCTATGTTTTTCTAAGTGTTAAACATCTAATAGAATAAAAGCTGCAGAGAAGGTAAGTGGATAGAGAACAAAGTGTGATGGGAGATGGAAAATGAAACAAGATTCAAAAATCTTGCAAATACTTTTGTCAATTGATTTTCATGTTTTCTAAGTGCCCATGAAGAGGTCTATAGGTTAGGAAATAACTATATCTTAGATTTCCTTGTTTAAGCTTTTTTCTATCTTTAGGCCTTAGAAAAAAGAAAAATTTGTCAGGTGCAGTGGCTCACACCTGTAATCCCAGCACTTCTGGAGGCCGAGGCGGGCGGATCGCCTGAGGTCAGGAGTTCGAGACCAGTCTGGCCATCAGGGTGAAACCCTGTCTCTACTAAAAATTCAACAACTCGCCAGGCGTGGTGGTGCACGCTCGTAATCCCAGCTACTTGGGAGGCTGAAGCAGGGGAATCACTTGAATGCAGGAAATGGAGTAGCCTGGGTGACAGAGTAAGACTCTGTTTCAAAAAAAAAAAAAAGTAAAAAGAATAATTTTAGCAAAAATGTTTCTTATTTCATGAGCTCAACTTTTTCTTTGGTTACTAACTTAATGTCCTTTACTTTTAATTTTTTTTCTATCATCAAAGCTGTTTTAAAGACCAAAGACTCAGACACCCATAGTCTCTCATAATAGATTTTTCAGTAAATAATAATCTGTATCTGTATATTGGCAAACAAAAAGAATGACTATTAGGTTCATATTGCTTCTTCAACATGAACCATAGTGTTGGATACTCAGTAGATGCCCAATAGATAAACAAATGTAAATTCCCAGGATCAGTGAATCCGTTAAACAAAAAAAAGGTCTTAACTCCCTAGCCTTTGTAAAACACTACATTACGATCTGAGGGAGTTTAGAGACGGAGAAACACTTCAAAAAAGAAATTGTATGCTGTAAATGGCAATAAGGACTCCAAAATACTGAATTTCAATGCTGTTTCCTCCCCCCAATCCCTCCCAAATTAAATAATTAACAGTAACTACAAGAACTAACTAACTACAAATATTTATGTAGTGGTTTTTGTTTAGTGGTTTTTGTTATAAAGAAATAACAATGTAATTTACACTAAAATTTCTAGAAGAACCCAGAAGTAACAAAGGTGTGCTTACCTGTGAGGGTCCTTGGAACTTGGAATAATATATACACATTCCCTCTTGGTCAAAGTGCTTTCTATCCAGGATTTCTGGGACTAAAACAAAATATTTTAAAGAACTGTTTACAAGTTAACCCACTAAATAAGAAGGAAACAATTTCACAATAAATACATAAACACTTCTATACTACATAATTTTTAATTTACTATTTACTACATTTAATTTACTATTTACTATAGTCTTACTGAGGATGGTACCCCAAAACATCAGAATAATTCCACTTAAATCTCAAGTGACTTAGATTATTAAATTAATAGTACTATGTAGATACTATTGCTTCAAATAGTCAAAGAGGAGGAAAGCCAAGTTTGAGATTCCCACTGTGAACCAAAATCCTTAAGAGGGGCTGGTATTGTTCTGGGATATGAGCCATATAAAAGACAACTGGCAGGGCACAGTAGCTCACACCTGTAATCTCAACATTTTGGGATGTTTTAGCCACTGATGTCAAGACTAGCCTGGACAACACGGTGAAACTCCATCTTTACCAAAAGTTAAAAAATTAGCCAAGTGTGGTGGTGCGCTCCTGTAGTCCCAGCTACTTGGAGTCTGAGGCAGGAGGAAGCCATTAAGCCCAGGAAGCTGAGGCTGCAGTGAGCCATGAACAGGCCACCACACTCCAGCCTGAGTGAAAGAGTGAGAAACCCTGTCTCAAAAAACAAAACAAAAAATTTTGAAAAAAAGACAATTAAAAGTGATAAATTTATAAAAAATAAACCCCAGCTACATTCCATTTCTAAGATAAATACCTAAAGCATAAGGGCATGGAATGATTAATGATACAGAAATAAAAAGACATAAAGCAAATTCTAATTAGAAGAAAGACAGTATCTGAAAAATGGATGCTACACAGCAATAGGGAGAGAGGTTATTACAAATGTTAAATCCACCAGATTGCTATGATAATCCTAAATATGATTAACCAAATAAAATAGTTTCAAATACATAAAGGAAAAAATTAATAGCATTAGACAAATATAGGCTCACAGTAGATGATTAACACATTTCTCTCAATTACTAAGAAGTCAATCAAACAAAAACTAATAGCAGAAGCCCAGCATGGTGGCTCACACCTGTAATCCCAGCACCCTGTGAGGCAGAAGGATTGCATAAATCCATGAGTTCAAGACCAGCTGGATAACACAGCAAGACTCTATCTCTACAAAACAATTAAAAAGTCAGCCAGGTGCGGTGGTGCTTATCTGTAGTCCTGGCTACTCAGGGGGCTGAGGTGAGAGGATCACTTTGAGCCTGGGAGGTCAAGGCTGCAGTGAGCCAAGATCACACCACTGCAATCCAGCCTTGTTGACAGAGTCAAGCCCTTGTCTTAAAAATAAATAACTCATTAGCAGAAATATTTAGAAGATTTTAACAACATATTAACAAGCTTCACTTAATAAATATATGCATATTTCCATATATTAGAAACAGAAAATCTATTCATTTTTCTCAAGCGCACATGGCGCATTTATAAAAATTGATCATGGACCAGGTGTGGTGGCTCACACCTGCAATACGAACAATTTGGGCACTGAGGTGAGTGTATCACCAGAGGCCAGGAGTTCAAGACCAGCCTGACCAACATGGTGAAACCCTGTCTTTACTAAACATACAAAATTAGTCGGGTATGGTGGTGGACGCCTGTAATCCCAGCTACTCAGGAGGCTGAGTCAGGAGAACTGCTTGAACCTGGTGGAGGTTGTAGTGAGCCAAGATCATGCCATTGCACTCTAATCTGGGCAACAAGAGTCAAAGTTTGTCTCAAAAAAAAAAAAAAAATTGGCTGGGCGCGGTGGCTCACATCTATAATCCCAGCACTTTGGGAGGCCAGGCAGGCAGATCACGAGGTCAAGAGATCGAGACCATCCTGGTCAACATGGTGAAACCCTGTCTCTACTAAAAATAGAACCCTGAACCCAGGAGGCAGAGGTTGCAGTGAGCTGAGATCACGCCACTGCACTCCAGCCTGGTGACAGAGCAAGACTCTGTCTTTTAAAAAAAAATTTTTTTTTAATTCTAAGAATTGAATAATAGTAAAACTTCCACGCATTTGAAAACCTCTACAATGCAGCCTAATGGTACATGTATAGAAAAATGCATAGGCTTAAGTGATTACATTTGAAAATAAAGGCGGGGTCAGGCGTGGTGGCTCACACCTGTAATCCCAGTACTTTGGGAGACAGAGGTGGGCAGATCACTTGAGATCAGGAGTTAAAAAAAAAAAAAGCCTGACCAACATGGTGAAACCCCATCACTACTAAAACACAAAAATTATCAGGGTATGGTGGTAGGTGCCTGTAATCCCAGCTACTTGGGAGGCTGAGGCAGGAGAACCACTTAAACCTGGAAGGCAGAGGTTGCACTGAGCCCAGGTTGTATTATTGCACTCCAGCCTGAAAAACAGAGCAAGACTCCCTCTCAAATAATAATTTTGAAAAAAGGCTTAAAATTATTGAGCTAACTGTCAAACTTTGAAAATATGTTGAACGAATCAAGTCAAAGGGAAGATAAAATTGAAAAAAATCTGTAAAACAGATTTTAATAAAATAGCAAGACTAGCAAAAGTTGAAAGTTGGTTCCTATGTTAACAAAATCGGTAAACCTTTATCAAGACTCAACAATAAGCCAGGCCGATCACCTGAGTCCAAGAGTTCAGACCAGCCTGGGCAACCTGGCAAAACCCCAACTCTACAAAAAACTAGGCAGGTTTGGTGGCATGTGCCTGTAGATCCAGCTACTCAAGAGGCTGAATTTGGAAGATCATCTGAACCCAGGGAGTTTGAGGCTACAGTGAGCTGTGATCATGCCACTGTACTCCAGCCTGGGTGACAGAGTGAGAAAAGAAGGAAGAAGGGAGAAAGAAGAAAAGGAAGAGGAAGAGGAAGAAGTAGAAGAGGAAGAGGAAGCAGCAGCAGCAGCACCAGTAATGGCGGTGGCAGCAGTGTCAGCACAAGTAATAGAGTGAAAAGATACAAGACAATTTAAAGATAAAACAGAAAATAACCAACTGTTCTTCCTGTGGAGTAGCCATTCTTTTGTTTATTTACTTTCCTAATAAACTTGCTTTCACTTTACTGTATGAATTTGCCTCAAATTCTGTCTTGGACAAGATCCAAGAACCCTCCCCTGGGGTATGGATTGGGACCCTTTCCTGTAATATCTTTCTGGCAAACCACAAAGGGATGATACTGAAGAGAATCCCAACCCAATGGAAATAGACTGCAGTACCAACTGGCCGACTTTGGGGGTGCCTAATGGCAGTTATGGGGGAATACACAGCTCTCTGCACCTCTGAATCTGAGAAACATGCTCTTGGCCCCCTAGAAGCTGTGCCTGATTACTAGGCCCTAGAAACTGAATGCTTTCCTTGCTCTGTTCCTCCAAGGGCTCTATCTTGAAGCCAGTAATCTAATTAAGAAACTGGCAAATCAAAGACCTTACAACTGATGGATCTCCTATCTATTTATCTATTCATGTGTTGTGTGTGACATGAAAGAGCTTTAATTCATTAAAAATAAGTGCTTTTGGCTGGAAACAGTGGTTCACACCTGTAATCCTAAGTACTCTGGGAGGCCAAGGTAGGTGGATCACTTATGGTCAGGAGTTTGAGACCAGCCTGGCCAACATGGTGAAACCCCATCTCTACTAAAAATACAAAAACTTAGCTGGATGTGGTGGCTCACATCTGTAGTTCCAACTATTAGAGAGGCTGAGGCAGGAGAACTGCTTGAACCTGGGAGGCACAGGTAGCAGTGAGCTGAGATTCTGCCACTGCACTCCAGCCTGGGCAAGAGGGAGACTCTGTCCCCCACTAAAAAATAAAAATAAAATTGAATAAATGTGTCTATAAGGTTTTATTAAGAATTGGGTTTCACACAACAACAATGGACAAAACCAACCGTGAAATTTGGCTCATTTTGTATAAAAATCAGAGGATTTTTCTGTTTAAAAAGAAATCATACAGGAAGCATTGTCAAACACGAAATGGTGTTTGGCTTTCTTTGGCTGCATTTGTATAACTATGTTATTGCTATGTGTTTCAAAATTATGAAAAGCTCCTGTAACTCTGATATGATTTAATGTACCTTATCAGTAATAATTATGATTACCATGTTAAATTATTATGTGCCACAAAGGTAACCAAAATTCTTTGTCAATCGTGTCTTTGACTATGGCTGTCCTAGAACTTTTTTGTCATAAATATACAACTGTTGTCATGTTTTGATCCTCCTCAAAAGGCAGTTTATGGCCGGGCACAGTGGCTCACACCTATAATCCCAGCACTTTGGGAGGCTGAGGCAGGTGGATCAGGAGGTCAGGAGATCGAGACCATCCTGGTCAACATGGTGAAACCCCGTCTCTACTAAAAAAAAATACAAAAATTAGCTGGGCATGGTGGCATGCACCTCTAGTCCCAGCTACTCAGGAGGCTGAGGCAAGAGAATTGCCTGAACCCAGGAGGCGGAGGTTGCGGTGAGCCAAGATCGCGCCATTGCACTCCAGCCTGGGTAACAAGAGCAAAACTCCGTCTCAAAAAAAAAAAAAAAGCGGTTTATAATCAGCTCCAGGACTTTCATAGGTGCTCTTAAATACAGGTTTCTGATCACTCTGGAGATTGTAACATTAGGAGAGGATAAATCTTTCAGGGCTCTCACAGAGACATGGTATGTTCATGTGTATTCAAACAGAACAGGAGTTAACTTCATGGACTGAACTAATGGAAGACTGAAGTAATCTTTTTTTACTTTTTTGCTTCAAATGTTGATCCTTTATTTTGTTTTTCAGATTCAAGGAAATTTTTGAGCTATTGACAGTTATTAACAATTGAGTAAAGTATACTCCTGTGAACAAAATTTGGACCATATTTGTTTCTATCTGATATCTCCAAAATTTGGAGACTAGTTGTGAGTATCCTTAACTTATGGCAATAGATTGGGCTTTTGTTGTTGTTGTTTTGAGACAGTTTTGCTCTGTTGCCCAGGCTGGAGTACAATGGCACAATCTCAACTCACTGCTACCTCCGCCTGACTTCTAG